TCTTTTGTTTTCAATTTCATTGACCTCTGATTTAATTTTGGATATTTCTTTTCTTCTGCTGGGTTTAGGCTTAGATTGTTTCTTTTTCCAATTCCATAAGATGGTTTGTGAGTTTGTTGATGCGCTCTCTTTCTGTTTTTCGAATGTAGGCATCTAAAGTGATAAATTTTCCTCTCAGGACTGCTTTTGCAATATCCCACAGGTTTGGTAGCTTGTGTCTTCATTGCTGTTGTGCTCAAGGAAGTTAATGATTTCCTCTTTTATTCCTTCCTGCACTCAGCTGTCATTCAACGGAAGGTTGTTTAATTTCCATGCCTTTGTGTGGGGTTGAATGTATTTGTAGGATTTGAGTTCCACCTTTAGTGCCTTGTGGTCTGAGAAGATATAAGGTAAAATTTCAATTATTTTGATTGTGTTGAGGTTTATGTCCTAGTATATGATTAATTTTGGAGAATGTTCTATGGGGTGATGAGAAGAATGTATATTCTTTATCTTTGGGATGGAGTGTTCTGTGTGCATCTATCAAGCACAGTTGTTCTAGGGTCTCATTTAAGTCCCTTATATCTTTGTTTAATTTCTGTTTAGAGGATCTGTCCAGCTCTGTAAGAGGAGTGTTAAAGTCCCCTGTTATTATGGTATTATAGGAAATCATATTGCTCAGACTGAATGAGGTCTGTTTCAAGAATCTGGACGCATAAATATTTAGAGTTGAAATGTCTTCTTGTTGTATTTTTCCCTTGACCAATATGAAGTGACCATCTTTGTCTTTTTTGACTTTAGTTGCTTTAAATCCACATGTATGTGAAAATAAGATTAGAACTCCTTTTTTCTTCTGAATTCTGCTTACCTGAAAAATTGACTTTCCAACCTTTAACTCGGAGTTTTAATTTGTCTTTTGAAGCTAGGTGTGTTTCCTGCAGACAGCAAATGGATGGCTTGTGTTTTTTAATCTAGTCAGCCAATCTATGCCTCTTCAGTGGGGCATTCAAGCCATTAATATTTATTGAGGTAATTGATAAGTGTGGTACTGTTCTATTCATCTTATTTTGTGAAAGTCCATTGCTTAGTTTTATCTTTTGCATCAGTGTGGAAGTTAAGGTCTATCCTTTCATTTCTGAGTTCTTACTTTGCTGTTGATCCATTCTGATGGTCAGTGTTTAGAACAGGTTGAAGTATTTCCTGTAGAGCTGGTCTTATTGTGGCGAATTTCCTCAATATTTGTATATCAGTAAATGATTTGATTTCTCTGTCAATTTTAAAGCTTAGCTTTGCAGGATATAGAATTCTGGGCTGGAAATTGTTCTGTTTAAGTAGATCAAAGGTAGATAACTATTGTCTTCTTGCTTGGAAAATTTCATTAGAGAAGTCTGCAGTCACCCTGATGGATTTGCCCCTATAGGTCAACTGGCACATACTCCTGGCAACTTAAAGAATCTTTTTTTTTTTTTTTTTTTGGTCTTGACTTTGGACAGGTTCATCACAATGTGTCTTGTGGAACCTCGGGTAGAGTTGAGGCAACCTGGGGTCCCATATCCCTTTAAAAGGAGTGTGTCAGAATCTTTGGTGCTATTTGGGAAATTGTCATTTATAATATTCTCTAGTATGGCTTCCATTCCCCTGGGGGCATTCTTCTTCCCCATTTGGGATACCCTGTTTGAACGCGTCATAAAATCCCATAATTTTGTCAGTGAACGTTCTGCTTTCTCTTCTTTTCTACCGCTTTAACTATCTGAGTTATCTCAAGAGTTTTGTCCTCTACCTCTGAGATTCTTTTTTCTGCATGATCTAATCTGTTGTTGATACTTTCTATTGCATCTTTAAGTTCCCTAATTGACTGCTTTATTTCCTTCATCTCTGCTATATCCTTTCTATATTCTTCATATCAGTCATCTCTTACTTGATTCTATTTTTGGATTTCCTTTTGGTTATTTTCCACTTTTATCAGCAGTTTCCTTCATTATTTCCATCATTTCCTTCATTGTTTTCATCATCTGTATTCTAAATTCTCTTTCTGTCATTTCTAACATTTCTTTATAGGTGGAATCCTTTATAGGTGGAATCCTCTGCAGTAGCTACCTCACTAGTCCATTTGGGGGGGGGGTTGCTCTGGACTGGTTTTTCATATTGCCAGGATTTTTCTGTTGATTCTTCCTCATGAGTGATTTCTTTTATCTGTTTTCTTGCCCTAATTTTCCATTTCACTTCCTCTTGCTCTTTAAGTTACTATGCCTCTGGACTAGGGGTTTTTTTTTTGTTTGTTTGTTTGTTTGTTTGTTTTTGAGACGGAGCCTCAAGCTATCCCCGCTGGGTAGAGTGCCATGGCATCACAGCTCACAGCAACCTCCAACTCCTGGGCTCCAGCGAGTCTCCTGCCTCAGCCTCCCAAGTAGCTGGGACTACAGGCGCCCGCCACAACGCCTGGCCATTTTTCGGTTGCAGCCATCATTGTTGCTTGGCGGGCCCGGGCTGGGGATTCGAACCCGCCACCTTAGGTGTATGTGGCTGGCGCCTTAGCCGCTTGAGCCACAGACGCCGAGCCTGAACTAGGGTTTTGATGAGTCCTTTTGGTACAGGACCAGAAGGATGAGAAGATTGAAGAGGAAGAAGGCAAAAAAGAAAAAAGAGAAAGGAGAGGGAGTGGGTAAAAGGGAATATTGACAAAAAGAAGAGAAGCACAGAAAGAAGGAGACAGGAGCAGTATAGATGTACAGTAGGGTACTTTGACCCAAACTTAAAAAACCCCCAACCTCTGGGGGTGCCCTGTTGGATGGTTACCTTGAGGTCAGCAGATCTTTGCTAGCCTGTTTGGACATAGTACCCCACCTCCACCAAGTAGAGAGGAAAGACAGAAATGCTATAAATCAAACCAAGCAAATAGAAAACTTTATGGGATAAAATTGGGGAAAAAAACAAATAATAAGGGTAGAAACACTAGCAAAATGACGTTCTAATTGTTAAAAAAGGCAACAATGGGAAATTATATTTAAACTAGAAAAATGAAGAAAAAAGAAAAAAAAGAAAAAATCTATAGAGAAAATGTTGAAATTAAAAAACAAGAAAGAAAAACAAAGCAGTTTAAATATCTTGCTGAATATTGTCTGGGCAACCAGTGATCTTCTGGGGTATGAGATGTTAATCAGCATGCTGATAATGGCTGTACATGATGGAGACTGGAGACCTCTGCTGATTTCTCAAACCCTGCAGGGTAGAGTGCCTAAATCACTCCTCAGCTCACTTAAAAGGCACTTTAAACTGCTAACTTTGGCCAACCAGAAGCTTTCCCAGGAAAGCACTTATCACTGGGATCACTCCTGAAGTGGCTATCCACTTACCCAGTATGTCAAAACCAGTCTCACTCTATGCCCCTAAGGGCCAACGCTGTGTACTTGTTCCCTCCTGATCCTTGCTCTGGGACCCTGAGGGCAGAGCTTGCTGGGGTAATTCTCCCACAATGGCTCCACACAGCCCACAGCCAAACACTGTTAACTCCATCTGGCTCAGTGGCTCAGTTTGGTGCCCTAGACAATGCTTAAAGTCCTCCACAAGTTCTCCCAAGGTAGTTCAAATGAATGCCAAGTCCAGAAGAAATCAAAACAGCTCACAGGTTTGGCCTTTCCAGTTTGCAATCTCACTGTTGCTATACTTACAGCTGCTGCCGGGATTAGACTGAACAAACAAATGCAAACACTTGACAGTTCTCCACTGCTTTTGTCCTCCTCATGGGGTCCAGAAGTCTCTCGCTGACTCCCTGTGTCCCAAAAGGGATCTTTCTGGGCAGATCTCACCAGCCAGAGATGCCCAGATTCTTCTCTCCCCAGGCTCACTGTGCCCAATTGCAAGGAAGCTGTTACTTGGCCGCCATCTTGCCAAACCTTAAGACTTTTATATGATCTATTGCTGTATTACAAATTACCCCCAAATGAAGCAGTTTAAAACTATACATATTATCTCATGTACTTCTGAGGGTCAGGAATCTGGGTTGTTCTGATTTAGAGTTTCTCATGAGATTGCAGTCAGAATGTTGGCTAGGGTGGGAGTCATCTGAAAGTTTGCCTACACTAAAGGATTCTCTTCTAAGCTCACTCACATGGCTGTTGGCTGGACATGTCAGTTCCTCACACTAAAAGGATTCTCTTCCAAGCTCACTCACATGGCTGTTGGCTGGACACATCAGTTCCTCACTGTGAATCTCTTCACAAGGCTGCTCAAGACATGCCAGCTGGCTTCTTTCAGAGTGAGTGATCTGAGAGAGGGCTACCACGACAGAAATTAGAGTATCTTTTATACCATCACTTCTGACATACTCTTTTGTTTATGCAGAACAAATGTGCTATAGCAGGGGTCTTCAAACTTTTTAAATAGGGGGCTAGTTCACTGTCCCTCAGACCATTGGAGACATGGACTGCAGGCCCTGGGATGAGTAGGCTGCTAAGCAGGACAGGCAGCAGAGGCAGAAATACCCGGCAGGCCGGATAAATGTCCTAGGTGGGCCGTATGTGGTCTGTGGGCCATAGTTTGAGGACGCCTGTGCTATAGGGTGGTAGGCAACTTTACTAGAGTATGAATGCCAAGAGGAGATTATTGGGGGACAATTTGGAGGATGACTACCAAAGCCTTCATTAGCAAATTTTGTGAGTTCTTTGGTTGTTGGGTTTTTGTGTATGTGTGGGTAAATTAAACCGTGTTTCAAAATTAAGAAATTATAAGAGATGTATAATGATAAGTCTTCATTTTACACCTGTCCTCCATTATTAAATTCCTTTCCTTCTAGCCAACAGTTATTTTTGACAGCTATTTTGTAATTCCAGGGGTATTTTATACTGGTCCAGGAAATGTAAATATTATTTTTCCTTATCACTAGCATGAATGATAGCATGCTGTACACACTATTTTGCACCTTGCCATCTTCATGTAATAATATAACTTGGAGGAACAATCACTCTGATTCTCCTCCATGGGTACACATGAGATAAATTTGTATGCTTTTTCTAAAAAAAAAAAAAAAAAAATTAGCTTATAAATGGTTCCATATTAATGCATGTCACTTACTTATCTTTTATAGCTGCATATTATTTCACTGGGTTGCTGTAGAATGGTTTATTTAACCATTTCTCTATTTGTTGGTTATCCTAATCTTTTGCTTTTATAGTGACAATGTAGCCATATCTCATGTGTGTAAGTAATATCCATTAAATAAATTCATGGCAGTGGAATTGCTGGATTAAAATTTAGGTATCATTGAAGTTTTGACAGATGATTACCCAATTGCCCTCCATAGGTATTACACCAATTTACAGTGTTGGCAGCAGTGTATGAGAGTGTCTGATATATGTACTCTTACTGATACAGTGTATATCAAACCTTTGAGTCTTCACTAATTTGACAGTTATATCTGTGTGTTTTAATTTGAATTTCTTTTTTTTTTTTTGAGACAGAGCCTCAAGCTGTCCCCCTGGGTAGAGTGCCATGGCATTACAGCTCATAGCAACCTCCAACTCCTGGGCTCCAGCGAGTCTCCTGCCTCCACCTCCCAAGTAGCTGGGACCACAGGCGCCCGCCACAACACCCGGCTATTTTTTGGTTGCAGCCGTCATTGTTGTTTGGCGGGTCCGGACTGGGGATTCGAACCCGCCACTTTAGGTGTACGTGGCTGGTGCCTTAGCCAGTTGAGCTATAGGCACTGAGCCTTTAATTTGAATTTCTTATGAACATCTCTCCATATATTTACGAGTCATTTGTATTTCCTTTTCTGTGAGCTGTCTGTTCATATCCTATTTGTCTGCTTTTTTTTTTTCTTAGTGATTTGTAGAAACTCATTGTTACAAAATTAGTCTTTTTTGGTGTGGGGGAAATAGTTAATTTATTTTAATTATTTTTAAATACATAGGGTTTTTATGTCTCCTCAAAAGCTTTTTTTTTTCTTTTTTTAATTATTTGAAAGAGTATAGTATCAAACTTAGAAAAAGGCTGAAAGTGGGCTTGGCACCTGTAGCACAGTGGGTGCTAAGGGTGGTGGGTTCAAACCTGGCCCAGGACAGCTAAACAACAATGACAACTGCAACAAAAAATAGCCAGGCGTTGTGGTGGGCACCTATAGTCCCAGCTACTCAGGAGGCTGAGGCAAGAGACTCGCTTAAGTCCAAGAGTTTGAGGTTGCTGTGAGCTGTGATGCTACAGCACTCTACCGAGGGCAACATAGTAAGACACTGTCTCAAGAAAAAAAGAAAGAAAGAAAGAAAAAGAAAAAAGCTGAAAGTGCAGTCCTACAAACTTATTTTCTAGCAGAAGTTGAGAGTAAGTTGCTGACGTGAGAGTTCACCATCTCTAAATACTTTTGTATGTATTTCTTTCAAAGGCAAATATTCCACGAAGCCTTCTTCGTATGCCCAGTACAACCTTCGAATCATGAAATTTACCCTGGTGGTTTCACAATCATGCCTATAAGTCTCTACTTCTTTGGCACTAAAGAAAAAGCACAAACTCTGAGCTAGACTACCTGGGTTCAAATCCCAGTTCTGCCACTCAGTAGCTATGGGTCTTTGGGCAACTCACTCCCTTTATATTGCAGTTTCCTCATCTCTCACAAAGAGTGTAATAATCATGCCTACTTCATAGATCATTGTCAAGATTAGATGGTTAATGCTTGGAATAGTGGTTGGCGCAATGGGAAAGCTGCGTCAGTGTAGCTATTACAATATTACTAGAATAAACACAATTGATACTAGATTAAGTTTTATAGTACCCATGAATGAAGTTATCAGAATTCATAGACTGCACTACAAGCTACAATTTGTTCACCTAACCCAGGATATATTTTTGTTCTCTTTTTAGATTTCAGAATGACTACTATCTTGACTTACACTTTAAAAAATCTTCCTAATGCATCAAAATGGACCCTCAGATTACGTAAGTGTAATTTTTTTCTTTGTTAAGATTAGATTTGGATTTATAAGCATCTTACGCAGACATTGAATGGTATTGCTTTTTGTAAATAGTTTGTTTTGTCTTCTAGCTGTAAGAAGTCTGAGCTGTTCCTCCCAGCTTCGAGCTGCCCCAGGTACGGGAGTTTATTAATAGTTCGTAAAATAAACATTAGCTTCCAAATCTACATTTTGTGAATTCTGGATAAAAACCAGAACAATTTTGCTAGTTCTCCCCTCTTTTATAAGCAACATGAGCATTACTATTGTCTTCAAATTTAAAAATTATAGGGCCAATCAATAATGATATTACGTTATTTAGGATTGGGATTGAGGAGACTGCTTTCTGGAATTTGAAATTGATGGAGTCATGTAAGTTCCAGAAACTGTGCTGGTCAGCATGTTTACCCTCTGGCTGTCAGTCCTGCAGATGATTAGCAAACAAAAACTCTTGCAGCTTTGTAGAACCAAAAGTTAACTTTTGAAACTTTGCTGTTAGTGATATGCTTCTCTACTGATGAGTTTCTTTTTATCCCATATACAAGAGAACCCATTCCTGAAATAGAGGTGATTGGGGAACTAGTTAATAAAAGAAGGTTGTTTAGTCAATATGAAATAAAAGGGTAAGGAAATTTGTTGATTTTATGTGGTCATTTAGGCCCTTGGTAAACCCAGTCAATTAGGCTTTCTTACTGTAGAATCTACTATAGGTAATTATCTTTACTGATTAGTGTGAAAAACACCCTGATAAATTGCTTAACATTTTTCTCCTTGCCTACATTTTGTATTGTTTTGTACAATTGTTTATGCCTCTGGTTTTGGTTTATATTTGGTTCTATTTGTATAATAAATTAATGGAAAAAGTATCTTTCAGGATTCAGAAAACCTGTACTCTCTTCTAGTCCTTTCTGGACAGTATGGGCTTCAACTGGACACTTTCCTTCCTGTGCTTTATTAGTTTCTTCATCTAAAAAAGAAATTTAGGCTTGGCACCTGTGGTTCAGTGGGTAGGGCGCTGGCCCCATATACTGAAGGTGGCAGGTTTGAACCTGGCCCCTGCCAAACTACAATTAAAAAAAAAAAAAGGCTCGGCACCTGTGGCTCAAGTGGCTAAGGTTCCAGCCACATACACCTAAGGTGACGGTTCCAATCCAGCCTGGGCCCACCAAACAAAAAAATGATGGCCGCAACCAAAAAATAGCTGGGTGTTGTGGCGGGCGCCTGTGGTCCCAGCTGCTTGGGAGGTTGAGGCAGAAGATTTGCTTGAGCCCAGGGGTTGGAGGTTGCTGTGAGCTGTGATGGCCACAGCACTCTACCCAGGGGGACAACTTGAGGCTCCGTCTCAAAAAAAAAAAAATCAGGGGATATCTTCCTCTCTGCACCAAAATCACTAGGTCTTATTATCGAGTAGGGCTTATATTTAACAAATCCATAGAAATCCTGCTAGGGCTTATTTTTTGGGTAGGTCTTATTTTCGGGGAAACATGGTATTAATGTTTAAATCTAAATCAAGATGATATTTTTGTATTATTTTACATACGGTATATTCTCAGAGGTTGTTGACTAATCCCAACTAGAGAGTTTTATGTTGTCATGTAACAAATGTATTTCCTGTGCCCCCTAAATTCTAACTAGAATATAGATTTCTTTTTTTTTTTTTTTCTTTAGGACAGAGTCTTACTCTGTCACCCTGGGTAGAATGCCATGGTGTCATAGCTCACAGCAACCTCTAGCTCTTGGGCTTAAGTGATTCTCTTGCCTCAGCCTCCCAAGTAACTGGGACCACAGGTGCCCACCATAATGCCCGGCTATATTTTTGTTGGAATTGTCATTGTTGATTTTAGCTGGCCTGAGCCAGATTCGAACCCACCAACCTTAGTGTATATGGCCTGTGCCCTACCAACTGAGCTACGGGCGCGGCTTAAAATATAGATTTCTTTTGGGTTTTTTTTTTTTTTAGAGCCAGAGTCTCACTTTGTCACCCTCAGTAGAGTTCTGTGGTGTCACAGCTCACAGCAACCTCCAGCTCTTGGGCTTAGGTGATTCTCTTGCCTCAGTCTCCCGAGTAGCTGGGACTACAGGTGCCCACCACAATGCCTGGCTATTTTTTTGTGGCAGTTTGGCCGGGGCCGGGTTTGAACCCACCACCCTCAGTATATGGGGCTGGCACCTTACTCACTGAGCCAGGGGCCACCCAGAATATAGATTTCTATTAGCCCCATGAAGATAACTTCTTTCTGCCTTATTTCACCTTTTCCCTAATTCTAATGGTCACCTACATCTTTGCTTTGCAAAGTCACACAAATAGACATGATCCTTGCCAAGTGGGAGAGGTCACTCTGATTACCAGCAGAGGAAGGCATTTATCTGGCATTTAGACTATTCTTTATGCTGCTCTGTAGCTATTCTTGACATTTATGTCTCTTACAAAGATATTGTAAGCCCTCGTGAGTCTTTAGCTTTTCTGTGTCCTCAGTGACTAACATAGTGCCCAACAAGTAACTTTTGTTAACACTGATGATGGTGGTAGTGCAGGACGGCACATGATGAGGCAGAAGAATGTGACCAGCTGATCCGAGGGGAAAGAGCAGGCATGTGCCTGTGCTGGGCAGGTTTTAGGTGGCAGTAATTTGGAAACTGATTCCTCTTGGAGCACAAGTGAATATCTCTGCTTGACGCAGCTGTTAGGATGAAAGAAGTAAAATAGAAGGGTACAGGATTTGGTGTTTTTAGTGATTTGACAGACTGGAAATGTGTGTGATGGGAATTTTGAATGACTTAATGGTTATATCTATGTATTGATATCTATCTCTGTATACACACATGTGTGTATTATAGTTGTATAATACATGATACATCTTTTATCTTCTTTGATTTTAATTGTATATAGAGGACATAGTATATATGTAGTTGGAAGGAGCTTTTGAGGTCATCTAGTCTAGCTTCTGTATTTGCAAGTCAAAAAAGTTTGTCCCAGCAGAGCCTGGAACCCAGATGTTTTAAATTCCAATTCAGATTTTTATAATTTATTGCTGCTGTGTACCCATAGCACTGTGGAATATATAAAATGGAGCTGTATTATCTGCCCTTGAGAAAGTTTTGATGTAGTTAGGAGCCATTGTCCATATGAAACAGAATGAGAGTCCTGGGTTAACTGTTCAGGATGTAAAGAAGAACAAATTTTTTTTTTTTTAAAGTAGCTTGTTTAATGTCTTTGCAATATGTTAAATTGTTTGGAATGGCCCATTTTTGCCCTAGCGGTTGTCATGGAAGTTCAGAGGCAGGAACTATAGGTAACTATAGTTTTCAGGAAAGGATTTACTAGAGGATGGAACGTGAACCAGGTCCAAGAGATAGCTAAGAATTAGATGGACAAAAAGGGGCCACACAGATGGGAGGATACATGAGTAAATGCAAGGAGGTTGGTATGAACTTGGCTATAAGGGACGGGGGTGGGGGGGTCTTCTCATTGTGTTACATGAATGGCAAGCCCTCCGGTCTTTGGGGGAGCAGTGGAGAATACTTCTGGCTATTTAAGGTGGAACCAAAGCAAAGCAGGCAATTTGTTAGAGAGTAATTTTAATTTTATCTAAAAGTATATAAAAAACTTATCATCAGTTCTTAAAAAGCGGAGTGACATGGTAGTGTGTCTTCTGCCTTTTCCTCTCATCACTCTTCTGTCCAAGGTCAGACAGAAATTTGCAAATCTTTGAATTTAGTGGCCTGTTTTCAGTCCCTGATCTCCTTGAGCATCTTGTTCTCCTTGAGACTCTCCTGCTTTTGACGTCAGACACTGTTCTCTCCAGATTCTCCATAGCCCAGGTCTTGCTATGTTGCCCAGGCCACCTTCTTCTGCCCTTTCAATATAGGGAGCCACAAAGCTAAGTGATTTGTATCATAAGTAATTGACTCCCAAGGATGAGAGCGTTTGTGTGCCCTCCAGCAGGGAAGGTATTAGGAGCCAAGCAAGCAGCTGACTTTTTCTTGAGTCATGTGTTTGTTCCTTTCCTGGATTTTCTGCTTCTCTCTATCCTTCCTCACCCTTCTTGCTGGCTTCTTTACTCACTTATAGTTTATAAATTCTGGCTTACAGGTGACTTCAGTTTATCATCGCTCTGGTTCTTCTCATGGCATCTTTTCAGCTTCCCCTAATTGGTATTTCTTTCCATGCTTTTTTGCTTAAAGAGAGTCTGACTGGCACAGTTTATCACTAGGGAGATGACAACACAGATTATTGAACAGTTTTGTTAATGGCAAAATTATCCTCATCAGTAGGTATAAACTTTGTTTGACTTTCCAAATAATATCTATTATTTGGAAACTTATGAATGCTAGTCAATTTCTCAGCCATTTTTATATACTGAAATGGTTTAATAAATAGGTTTGCATTGAATGATGTAATTCTTCTTAGACTATTTTTAAAATATAAAACATCATCTGACTTTGTATGTTTTAGTTAGTAGTTCTTTGAACTTTATCTTAAAGCTGGCCAGACCAAATCAAAGAAGACCTTAGCCAAACCCAATGTAAGGAATATAGTGGTGGTGGACGGTGTCCGGACTCCATTTTTGCTGTCAGGCACTTCGTAAGTATGAAATGATCATGTTATTTATTCCTTCTTTTGAAGTACTTTCGAAAGTGGTCTTCAAGCCAGTGGTGAAATAATACGGCAAAGTTTGTTTTTTATCTTCCTCATGGACAGGCCTCATGTAGTTTTGGCTTCAAACAGCCCTATTTTGAAAGCCTAGGGTAGGCCTATGTAGGTAGCTTGCTTCCAATAGAGATATCTTTTCCTTTTCTAAAGACAAGTATGTTGTTTCTATGCTTTCTTAGAAATTTGAATGCTGGCAATGTGGATTCTGAGCATTCTGAAGGGCTTGCAATCCACTGGAATTATTAGACTTGGAGTTCACAGGGCTGGTCCAAAACCCTGGCATAGTACAACCCCAAGTATATGTGTTGCTGTTAATGGGGTGCGTGGTGTGGTGCCACAGAGGTTAAGCCTACATTGAAATTGTATGGCAAAAAGGAAAGACTACAAGCTCGCTCAGGCCTGTAGCAACTTTATTTCTTCCACCAAAGCTTATATAGGCAATACTATACCTGTACACACAATTAATCATTAAACATATGACTTAAACCTTAGCCCCAGGCCTTAAACTGCCTGGCACTTACTGGGCTACAGATTAACTGATAACCACTTCACTAACATTATCCAAAGTTATTCTTATGTTAAGAAATCAAAAACAGAACCACAAAACAAGGTTCTGGGGAAATAAGCTGTTTGAATGCTGGACCTTTAACAGACCATCTGGTGGCAGTCATCCCGAGATACACAGGTACCTGCCTGCAGGCCTGCCCCCACAAAGCCAGGCCCTTAATCACTTCTACTGACCAGGCCCTTAAGCCTCATATGGCGTTCTATCCAGGTTTTTTTTTCCTTTTCTAACTCACAGAAGACTTCAAACTTGCCTTCACAAAATAGAACCATTTAAAAGCTTATTTATAGGCTTTTTGCCTATATATATGGAACCAGAATGATGCTAGACCAACCTCAAACACCCCAGAATAAAACTGTTCTTCTCCTTGACCTTTCTTGCTTTTCTGTCCCCAAGTGCAGGTTAGTCTGTCTAAAGCTAACAGTGGGCTTTGGTAACCAGGTTTATGTTACTCTATTCTGTTTAGATTATTGTAATGTTTAATTATATATGTGTGTGTGTGTGTGTTTGTGTGCTTTTTTTTTTTTGCAGTTTTTGGCCGGGGCTGGGTTTGAACCTGCCACCTCCAGCATATGGGGCCAGTGCCCTACTCCTTTGAGCCACAGGTGCCGCCCTATGTGCTTGTTTTGTTAAGAGATGAGCTCTCACTCTGTTAGTTGGAGTGCAGCAATACAGTCATAGCTCATTGTAGCCCCACACTCCTGGGCTCAGGTGATCCTCCCACCTTGGCCTCTCAAGTAGCTGAAACTATAGGTGCATGTCACCAGGCCCCACTAACTGTTTTTTTTTTTTTTTTTTAAGAGATTGGGTCTGCCATGCCAGTTAAATCTTTTGCCTCACCCTCTCAAGTTGCTCATGCCATTGCACCTTGATATTCATATTTTCAACAGGCAGTCAGTCACCAAAAATGCTGGAGAAAGTTAGGCATCTGTTAAAAATAATGAGACCGATTTTTGCATACTAAAATGGAAGATCTAAGATCTTGAAGGTATGTTAAGTGTAAAAAAACAAGATGCAGAACATTGTGTATAATATGTCATCATTTCATTTTTCTTTCTTTTTTTTTTTTTTTTTTTGAGACAGAGTCGCACTGTGTTGCCCTCAGTATAGTGCCATGGCATCACAGCTCATAGCAACCTTGGGCTTAAGCTCAGGGAGTAGGTGCTGGCCACATACACCAAGGCTGCCGGGTTCAAACCCAGCCCACAACTCTTGGGCTTAAGCTATTCTCTTGCCTCAGCCTCCCAAGTAGCTGGGACTACAGGCCCTGGTCACAATGCCTGGCTTTTTTTTTTTTTTGTAGTTGTCATTGTTGCTTAGCAGACCTGGGCTGGGTTTGAACCCGGCAGCCTTGGTGTATGTGGCCAGCACCCTACTCCCTGAGCTACAAGCGCCAAGCCACATGTTCATTTTTCAACAGATAATTTAAGACCTAGAAAATACTTTCTCGCAGAAGTAATGCTCTAAGTAAATGGTCATTCATCCTACTTTATCAATATGGCAATCCATTTAACAATGTTTCTCTCTAACATTTATTTCTGTGCTGACACTATAGCAATAAGAATCTGAGGCCAGGTGCAACAGCTCACACCTGTAGTCTTAGCACTCTGGGAGGCCAAGGCAGGTTGATAGCTTGAGCTCAGGAGTTGCAGTCCAGCCTTAGTAAGAGCAAGACCCCATCTCTACTAAGAATAAAAAAAACTAGCCAGGCATTGTGGCAGGCACCTGTAGTTCTAGCTACTTATCAGGCGGAGGCAAGAGGATTGCTTGAGTCCAGGAATTTGAGGTTGTAGTGAGTAATGATGATGCCACTTGCACTCTAGTCCAAGTGACAGAGCAAAGGAAAACAACAAGAGTAATAAAAAAATCCAAAACACTATTTTTTTTTTTTTTTGAGACAGAGTCTCACTATGTCACCCTTGGCAGAGTGCCATGGCATCTCAGCTCATAGCAACCTCAAACTCTTGGGCTTAAGTGATTCTCTTGCCTTAGCCTCCAGAGTAGCTGGGACTATAGGCGCCTACCACAATGCCTGGCTATTTTTTTGTTGTAGTTGTCATTGTTTGGCAGGCCCAGGCCGGGTTCAAACCTGCCAGCCCAGGTATATGTGCTGGTGCCCTAACTATTGAGCTATGGGCACCAAGCTCCAAAACACAATTTTTTAAAAAAGAGACCTCAAAAGGTAGAGTTTAAGTTTAAAAATACATATAGCATATGGCATGCTGAGCAATAAGAAATTGGGCAACACTTTCGTTAGATTGTTACATTAGCTAGCTCAGCAGGAATTAAGGTTTGCCAGATTTTTAAGGATGACAAATAACAAAATCACACTATTTCTTCACTTGAAATGATGGACTTCTTTGGATAGGAAATGTAAGTGCATTTGTAGCAGCATATGCGAGATGATCTGTGAGTATTTCAAACAGAATAAAAATTTCTTTTTCTTCAGAGCTCTAGGGTTTGGGTTTAAATTACGTGTTTTCTTTCCCCAGGTACAAAGACCTGATGCCACATGATTTGGCTAGAGCAGCACTAACGTAAGTAAATGTAGTTTGATTTTAGTTCTTATTTCTTTCTTTCTTTCTTTCTTTTTTTTTTTTGAAACAGAGCCTCAAGCTATCCCCCTGGGTAGAGTGCTGTGGCATCACAGCTCACAGCAACCTCCAATTCCTGGGCTCAAGCAAGTCTCCTGCCTCTGCCTCCCAAGTAGCTGGGACCACAGGCACCCTCCACAACGCCTGGCTCTTTTCTTTTTTTTTTTTAGTTGCAGCCGTCATTGATGTTTTGGCAGCCCAGGCTGGATTCAAACCCGGCACCTTACGTGTATGTGGCTGGCACCGTAGCCACTTGAGCCACAGGCACCAAGCCAAGTTCTTACTTCATTAAAGGCACTCTCTCCAGGTTTTACACTTAAGATGATATGTTCAATAAAATGTTCCTATCTAGGCTGTATTAACTTTCATGTAGTAGGAAAAAATACTGATTAGCTGCTACAGTATTAATTTATTCATTTTAGCCATCTGTGCTACACAAAGTTAAGGAACTCATGGATGTCAGCAGTCTTTATTTTGAAGGCTTAATAATGTCTTGGCAAGACAATATTGTTTTTTTTCTCTTTTCTTTTTTGAGGCAGGGTCTTGCTCTGTTACCCAGGGTAGCGTAGCTCACTGTATCCTCAAACTCCTGGGCTTATTTGATCTTCCATCTCAGGGCATGCTACCACACTGACTGGTTTCTCTATTTTTTACAGAGATGGGGGTCTTGAACTACTGGCCTCAAGCAATCCCTTGACTTGGCCTCACAAAGTGCTAGGCTTACAAGTGTGAGCCACCATACCTACTCATAATATTCTTTAATATTCTTTATTGAGCTAGCCTCAGAACTAGACTGATCAGCCCAAACACAGTAAATGTATTTGATGATTATCTTAGATAGGATCTTCATTACTATTTAAGGATAGCTGAACAGAGGATGAATGTATCTACCTAGAGAGAGACCTGAAAATTCATGTGCAAACCACATAAAGACACAAAATTAGATGCGATTAAATGAGATTGGGCTGGGTGAATAATTTGGTGAGCGTCATCAAATGTATTGCTGTTTATAGAGGGGAAATGACATGTAAGATATTATCTCATTTATTTTTCATTGACATTTTGCCTTTGTATGTTCAGCCACAGTTTGTGCCTAGTTTGGAGATGCCTTTCTGCTCATTCTATCTAACCTGGTTCTTTTTTCTCTTCCTGCCAGACTTCTAGTTTGAGTGAAAGAAGCAGTTACTTCTCTTTCCTTCCTATCCCTTTCCTCTCCCTAATGTCATGATAATTGTTTCTGTTCCCATTGCTTTACAATAACCATACTGCAGAATCTTCTCTTAATAAGGACTTTGTGATTGCTAAATGAACCAGTCTTTTCTCAGGGCTCGCTCTCTTTGCACTTTGTAGCATTTGACCCTGTAAGCCATGCTCAACTGTCTTCCACTGATTTCTTACCATTATGCCTTAGTGATTTTCCTTCTTTCTCCTTATTGATTCCTTTTTACTTAAAAAAACCTGAAACAAACAAAAAAGAATCTCTCCCTCTTCTTCTTCTTCTTCTTTTTTTTTTTTTAGGACTGTATTTATTTATTTTTTGAGACAGAGTCTCACTCTGTTGCCCTCTTTTGAGTGCTGTGGCATCATTATAGCTCACTGCAACCTCAAACTCTTGGGCTCAAGTGAACTTTTTGCCTTAACTTCCCAAGCAGTTGGGTCTACAGGCGTCCATCATAAGGCCTAGTTGGTTTTTCTATTTTTGGTAGAAGTGGGATCTCGCTTTTGCTCAGGCTGGTCTTGAACTCCTGAACTCAGGAGATCCACCTGCTCAGTTGAAATTACAGGTAGGCCTTCCTCTTCTTTTTTAATGCTATTTTGCAAATTTCAGTCTTTAGAGCTTTATATTATTCTCTATATACATGCTTTCCCTTAAAAATCTCATCTAGTTAATCTTAGTTTTATTTATTTAAAAGAGTCCTAGATTTCTAAATTTGTACTCTTACATGTAGATACCTCAAGCTCAGCCTGTTAAAAATCAAAATTATGTTTTCACCAAAGCTGGCTTCTTTTTCTATGTCTGACAAAGGTTCTATCATGATCCTAGACTGGAAGTTAACAAGTTTTTCTTCAGCTTTTTATTTTGAAAAATATCCACTGTATAACCAGATTGAAATAATAGCACAGTAAATACCTATTTATCCTCCATTTATATTTAATAATTGTTAGATTTTGCCATATTTGCTGTATTTATTTGGTTTGGACCATTTGATAGTAAGTAGCAAACACCGTGACACTTCAGCCCTAAATATTAACAATTCAGCATTTATCTCCTACGAATAAGGAAAACGGTATTGCTAACCACAGTATTATTACCATAATTAACAGTGATTCCATTATAACTTGTAATACCTAGTTTATATTATAGATCTTCACAGTTGTTCCAAGAATGTGTCGTAATTTTTTTTTTTTTAGCCGGAGTGTCATTTTGTTGCCCTCAGTAGAGTGCCTGGGTGTCATAGCTCACAGCAACCTCAAACTCCTGGGCTTAAGTGATTCTCTTGCCTCAGCCCCCCAAATAGCTAGGACTACAGGCACCTGCCATAATACCCGGTCTTGCTCTGGCTCAGGCTGGTCTCGAACCTGTGAGCTCAGGCAATCACCTGCATCAGCCTCCCAGAGTGATGGGATTACAGGTGTGAGCCACTGTGCCAGGCCAAAATATTTTTTTTAATGTCTCTTGAATTTCCTTTACTTTTCTTTCTCCCCTCTTCCCCCATGACGTTGACTTTTTGAAAAGTCCGAACCAATTGTTCTGAAGAATGTCCCACATTCTAGATGTTTCTTTATGATGATATTTAACTTATCTCATCTCTGAATTTCCTGTAAACTAGAGATTATGTTGATCATGGTGTCAGACTGACAGATCTTTTGATTGTAAAGGTAAAGTTCACCTTTTACAATTAGTAAATAATCTGTAAAGTGATATGGTAGTGCCATGAAAACATCTTGTTCCCCAACAACCTTTTCCTTTTTGAGGCAGAGTTTCATTCTATTGCAGGTGACAGAGTACAGTACGTCTCCGTAGCTCACTCTAGCTTCAAACTCCTGGTCTCAAATAATCCTCATGCCTCAGCCTCCTGAGTAACTGGGACTATAGGCACATACCACCATGCCCAGCTAGTTTTTATATTTTTTGTAGAGATGGAGTCTTGCTATTTCATAGGCTGGTCTCTATCTTCTAGCCTCAAGCGATTCTCCTGCTGTGGTCTCCCAAAATGCTAGAATTATAGGCCATTGAGCCCAACTTCTCAAGAAACTTTTACCAAGTGGTTTTTAGCATCCCTTGATAATTTTTGCCTGAATTACTTATTGCATTAGAAATTACATATTTATGATGTTCCTAATTCTATTATTCCTGCTACATTTATTGAATGACATTTTTTATTAAGAACAACTTTCCTTCTTTTTTTTATTGATCAGGATTTATGGATTTTTATTTATTTATTGTGTTATAGCTAAGTTTAGTCATTATTGGTTTAGAAGCTCAGATTATCCCACATTTTATCTGTGGGAACGCCTTCAAACTGGCTCATGTGTCTCTTGTTTTTTAGTATGTTATTTTTTGAGGTCTAATTTGCCTTCAATAAAATGTACAGATTTTAAGTGTATATAGTCTGATGAATTTTGACAAATGTGTACAGTGATGTTCTTGGTTTTTAATATGTCCTATTCATCTTTGAATACTTCTTCCTTTTAGTACAGAAAAGATGAATGACATTCACTTCACACTTTGCCTCAGACCTGGTAGCAATCTTTTTTTTTTTTTGCATTTTTGGCTGGGGCCCGGCTTGAACTTGCCAGTCCCAGTATATGGGGCTGGCACCCTACTTCTCTGGCCACAGACGCCACCCTTGTAGCCATCTTTTTTTAAAGCACCTCTTGTCTCTTTAATGGTGAATGGCAATTAGAAACCAACTCAGGGGCTTGGTGCCTGTGACTCAAGTGGCTAAGGCGCCAGCCATGTACACCCAACGTGGCGGGTTCAAATCCAGCCCGGGCCCGCCAAACAACAATGACGGCTGCAACCAAAAAATAGCCGGGCGTTGTGGCGGGCGCCTATGGTCCCACCTACTTGGGAGGCTGAGGCAGAAGACTCTCTTGAGCCCAGGAGTTGGAGGTTGCTGTGAGCTGAGATGCCAGGGCACTCTACCCAGGGGGACAGCTTGAGGCTCCTGTCTTAAAAAAAAGAAACCAACTCGGGCTCTTTGCCCATAGCACAGTGGTTAAGGTGCCAGCCACGTACACCAAGGGAGCTGGGTTCCAACCTGGCCCGGGCCAGCTAAATGACAATGACAACTGCAAGAAAAAATAGCCAGGCATTGTGGGGGGCACCTGTCATCCCAGCAACCTGGGAGGCTGAGGCAAGAGAATCACTTAAGCCCAAGAGTTTGAGGTTGCTGTGAGTGGTGATGCCATGGCATTCTACTGAGGGTGACATAGTGAGACTCTGTCTCAAAAAGAAACCAAGTCTGGGTTCAAGGAGTACTCATTCCTGCTGGAATATTATTGGGTTTGGTTTTTATCCATGAACACAATCAGAATATGTGCATTATTTCAATTATTAATTTATATTGATATTCAAATTTATATTTAACATATTGGTAACTTTATCTCTTTGATTTTATATTTGTCTCCTTTTCTCTTTCTACTGAAAACTTTAGTTCCCACTAATATTAACTGTGTTAATGGGTTTTACTTATATATTTCATCCTATTTGAAATTTTTTTTTTTTTGAGACAGAGTCTCACTTTGTTGCCCTTGGTAGAGTTCTGTGGTGTCACAGCTCACAACAACCTCAAACTCTTGGGCTCAAGCAGTCCTTTTTTGCCTCAGCCTCCCAAGTAGCTGGGACTACAGGTGCCTACCACAACATCCAGCTAGTTTTTAGAGACAGGGTGTCTGCTCTTGCTCAGCCTAGTCTAGAACTCCTGACCTCAAGCCATCAACCCATCTCGGCCTCCCAAAGTGCTAGGATTATAAGTGTAAGCCACTGTGCATGGCTTTTCAAATTATTTTTTATTCTTCTTCTCTAACATCTCATTACCAATTGATCACTAAGTGTTAACCTTCCTCTTTTTGTTTTTTGAGACAGAGTCTCACTATGTTGCCCTTGGTAGAGTGCCATGTCATCACAGCTCACAGCAATCTCAAACTCCTAGGCTTAAGCAATTCTCTTGCCTCAGCCTCCCAAGTAGCTAGGACTACAGGCGCCCACCACAATGCCCGGCAATTTTTTTATTGCATTTGTGTAGCTGGCCCGGGCTGGGTTCGAACCCACATGATGCTCTCTGACACTACCTTGATGTGTGAAATGTTTCTTTGCTTGGATTTCTGCTTCCAGGGGGCTGTTGAATCAGACCAGTGTCCCAAAGGATATTGTTGATTATATCATCTTTGGCACAGTTATTCAAGAAGTGAAAACAAGCAACGTAGCTAGAGAGGTGAGTAAAATTTTATATTATTATTTTTATTAATATTATTTTATGTCATTTAGAGATTAGCTCTTTGATAGGAGAATCCATTTGAATGTCAATTAATAGAGTTTACTTTATAAAAGCCTTTAAAATATATTAGGTAAAGTTACATTTGACCTAAAAGGTGATTTTACAACTTGAGTAATAAGTATTACTTAATATTTAAAAGAATGATGTTATACTCTGCTCTCTCTTTCTTACCTTTTCCCCTCACTCTTTTGCCTTTCTCTAACATAAAATCAACTTATGTTTTTATATTCTAAGAAAGAAAAGAATTATGCTATAAAATAAATGGCATATACTATGTTAGTACATATTCACACTTTATTATTATAAATCCTATCAGTTATGTGAGCTGGTTTAGGAAATTATCTCTAGTGTTAAGAAAGTTGAGATCACGGCAAAATGTGCTGATGTTCCTTTTAGGAATGTTTGATAACTTGGCTTCTGATTAATTAAAAATTCCAACAGTTTGCAAAGAGCTAATTTCAAAATTTGGTTTATGTTAGTTGGACACAGCCTTGCTTATTCGTTTGTTCCTGTTGAACAGATTGGCACGTAAGGCAGTTTCGTTTTTTTTTTTTAGCTATTTCACAAGGGCTTACTTTTACCCTACTTGGCATACTTCCATGTAGTGTTTATTCGGCAACCTAGATAATGCCAGACCTTGGAACTTTCTGTGACATGTCCTATAAGCGTTTCACAGTGAATAATCTAAACACATCTTCTGGGCTTTGTTTCAGTTTGAAGGTGATAAGTTGGGTAGACTTGGCACCAAAGCACACTTCAGCGTGCTAAGCATTTTCCTTACTTCTGGTCCATGGATGCCATATTTTTGTGTTAGGTGTAGTTGTGAGGGTAATAACTTCCCTTGCTGTCAGCCAGGGCAAATGAGCAGGACTGAAAGTATTTGTTCCTCTCTGCCTTTGTACCAGTCAGGAAATGTTAAAACTGTGGAAGACCCAGCATGACTCAAAACCACAAAAAACTACTGTATGTTGTAGGGGGCAGAAAAGAGAAAGTGATTTTTTTTTTCTCCTCTTGAAATTTTTTTGGACCTTCACATTTCCAAATGTATCAAATGTGACAATGAGTACATTAAGCTGTTCATAATACATTTTCAAGTTTTATATGCTGAAGGTAACCAAGTGGCCTCTACAAGAGCACTTAAAAATAGATGTTAAATTTGGCTTGGCTCCTGTGGCTCAAGTGGCTAAGGCTCCAGCCACATACACCTAAGGTGGCGGGTTTGAATCCAGCCTGGCTCACCAAACAATGACAGCTGCAACCAAAAATAGCCGGGCGTTGTGGCGGGCACCTATGGTCTCAACTACTTGGGAGACTGAGGCAGGAGACTCACTTGAGCCCAGGAGTTGGAAGTTGCTGTGAGCTGTGATGCCACGGCACTCTACCCAGGGGGACAGCTTGAGGCTCTGTCTCAAAAAAAAAAAAAAGATGTTAAATTTGTTAGAATTTTTTCTGTATTTCAGTTCTTTCCTAAAACTAAAATCATAGTCTTTTTTCCTGAATTTTCCCCTTGAAATTTTACATTCGTTTGAGAATCTCAGCTATCCATATGTGAGGAAGATTTCCCTCTTTCCGCCCTAAACTGATGCCAGTTATATTGTGCTTCAGGTTGTTTTTTCAGTGACTGCAGGGAAAGGTTGAGTTGAGGAGATGTTGTGTGAATGTCACTTTAAGGTTGTATTGTAGACTAAAAGCTAACATGACGACCAGCTAAAGAATTTCATTTGGACCTATTGTCTGTATTAATAGTGTTAACATGAAATTCTAAAAGATTTCTTGTGTGTCCATGAACCTGAATTGAAAGGGCTCAGCATATTTCCCTGCTCTCCAGCTTACCTAAGAGGCATCTTTTCCCTCATGCCTTGAGAGCTGTTTAGTAGGGTCACTAGCAGACATCTGCTTTTAAAGCTATTTCAGTCTTGAGAGTCATCTAAGGCCAAGGGCAACACATGTTGGAAAGGCCCTCAAGAGGATCGGGCATTATGACCTGAGTTCCCTTTACACTTGCCCCACTGCAGAGCTGTTCTCTCCTGCCCCCTGAAGACTCGCCTCTGTCTTCCTTTTGGATCGGTTTACATTGAGAGGCTGACATGCAGTTGCCAGACAGTAGTTTTCAGCAAAGTAGATTGGGCCTGTAGTATCAGGCCTGCCTGGAAAGACCAGGATCAGGCCATACTTCGTGTACACTGTGGTTACACATTCCTATTTCTATAGATTAGGGTAAATGTCAATAGTAAAAGTATATAAAAGTAATATAAAAGTAAAAGTCAGTTAAGAAGCATTGAATCTCTAATCTAGGCTTTGGAACATCTTACCAAATTTTAGGAGAGTTTGTATGCTGAGGATAATTGAATAGTTTCAGAAAAAGATTATTAAAAATCAATTCCCGACAATAGGATCCAGAATTTCATAGTAAATAGTGTGTGGGTATGTATAGTGGAGTGTGAAAGTGTCATTGTTTATTTATTTTTGAGATAGAGTTTCGCCTTGTCACCTGGGCTAGAGTGCAGTGGCAGCATCATAGTTCACTGCAACCATGAACTCCTGAGTTCATGTGATCCTCCTGCCTCAGCTTCTCAAGTAGCTTGGACTACAGGTGTGTGCTTCCATATCCATCTGCTTTTTTCTTTTTAACTTTTTGTTGCTCAGATTGGTCTGGAACTCCTGGCCTCAAGCAATCTTCCCACCTCAAGGAAGCTGTATTTTTTAAGTGAAATTTTAATATTATAAAAATAAGTTTTTTTTTTTTTTTTAGAGACAGAGTTTCACATTGTCACCCTTGGTAGAGTGCTGTGGCATCACAGCTCACAGCAACCTCCAGCTGTTGGGCTTAGTCTCTCTTGCTTCAGCCTCCCGAGTAGCTGGGACTACAGGCACCCACCACAATGCCCGGTATTTTTTGTTTGCAGTTTGGCCAGGGCTGGGTTTGAGAACCTGCCATTCTTGGTATATGGTCCTGGCACCCTACTCACTGAGCCACAGGGGCACTCATAAATATAATTGTATAATTGTACCTATGCATTAATTATTTACATAAATAAAAATGGAATCAGTCATTGGTTGTTTTTTTGAAGCATAATTTCCCTAATGCTATAAGAATTATAAATGGTCTCATTTCATTTCCATGTTTGACATTTACTGTGTCATCATAATATAAGCCTTTCTTTTCTTTCTTTCTTTTTTTTTTTTTTTTTTGGCCAGGGCTGGGTTTAAACCCACCACCTCTGGCATATGGGGCCGGCACCCTACTTCTTGAGCCACAGGTGCTGCCCAGCCTTTTTTTTCTTTTTAAGACAGAGTCTTACTCTGATGCCCCAGGTAGAGTGCCATGGCATCAGCCTAGCTCAGAGCAACCTCAAACTCCTGGGTTCAAGTGATCCTCTTGCCTTGGCTTCCTATGCAACTGGGACTACAGGCATCCACCACAATATCTGACTAATTTTTCTATTTTTAGTAGAGACAGGGTCTCATTCTTGTTCAGGCCGGTCTCGAACTCCTAAGCTCTAGTGATCTGCTGCCTCAGCCTCCCAGAATGCCAGGATTACAGGCATGAGCCACTGTACCCAGCAGTAATATAAGCCATTTTTGCAAGAGTAATGGAGTGCTTCAGTTTTTCAATTTCAAATTATATTCTCTTGTAGATATTCTATTATTTCATCAGCCTGGCTAGTTTTCTCTTTTCTAGTTGTCAATTGGTCTGACCCTTATTTGTCAAAGGCTCACATAGAACCCTGGCAATTGTCCAAAATTTTTTTCAATTTGAGCTTCTATAGATTTGGCAAGTTTTCCAGTTCTGGTCTCCATTGGATCTGCAGTGTATGGTCTGAAGTGTCAGATGGTCTGTGAGAGCACTAGCTGGCAGTGAGTAGAGAAAGGGGTAGATAGCAGGTGGAGTCCTTAGTGGGAATCTGCATATGAATAGTTCTTTCGAAGTCATTTTTGTGTTTGATGACCTTTGCTTTACTGTTCAGCTTTATAACTCGTAAGACCTGATAACACAGATCATGAGGACCCCACCCCATAATATATTTACTTATTCCATCTGTCTTTAACAGGTTTCTTTAAGTGTATTTGAAAATTTAAAGAAGTTTAAATCAAATTATATTTGAGATCCTTAAAGGCTCTGAACAAGGTATTGCTAAGACATTGGGTAAGATAGAAGCATTTTGTAGCCTTATATACCAGAAAGCAGCCACCAATGATTTTGTAGAATGGCTGTCAATTAATGGCAAGATGAGAAATTAGTAAACTGTTTTTTTGATGGGCTTAATTTTATTTTAAAGATGGCTCTATAGAATACTGAGCTGAAGCCCTTTCCTGACTGCGCATACAAAGAAGTAGTGCTCAGAGCATCATTGACAGTGCACTTCCTCTGTAAGTGATCATTTTACTTGTATTTCCTAAAGGCTGCCCTCGGAGCTGGCTTCTCTGACAAGACTCCCGCTCACACTGTAACCATGGCTTGTATCTCTGCCAACCAAGCCATGACCACAGGTATGTTTGAATGAAAGCAGAAGGTACATCTTAATTTTCCTTTTTTTGTCTTTTATGTGGTTATTTTGAAAGTACTCTTAACTGAAGTAAAAAATTAGTACAGCTCCCTGTATTTGTATTTTTTAAATAATCAGATGACATTTAAGATTTTGCTTTTTGACAATAGTTTCAACTTTTTCCCTACACCTGAGGCACACAGCCATTGATGTAGTTCCCCCATCAGCAAGCAGTGTGTCTGGCCACAGTAGGGATTATTAACTATAGGAGTGTATCTCTAGGAGAGTGATTGAGAATCTGAGTCAGGAATAGTTTATAACCTTCTAGGTTTTAAACCTCGGTGATTTGGATATGATAGTTCTCCACCAAGATATGGTCTTTCTCCCTCCACCGCCACTGTAGTTGTAAATCACTATTTTAGACCGTACAACTCTTTCCTTCACTTTCCTTCCACACCCTAGGCATTTTTATAAATCACTGCAAATTCTCCTAACAAACTTTAGCCAGCTTGGGGGACATTTTAGCATCATCCTGTAAAAAGACAGAAAGCCTGAAATATTTGGTGCTTAAGAATCATGTGCTTATTTAGTAACATCAAGGCCAGCTTGGAGCTTTGCACAGTGGCAGTATCGTAGCCCATGAGGTTTATCTGAGGAGCGATTATTGCTAATTGAAAAGGCCAGCTTGGGCAGCCCACATCATGAGTGTCTGGGAATGATCCCAGAGGCAGTGACTGGGGGTGTTCTGGATAGCACGCGACCAACTTCCAGTTAGAGAAACAGAATACTGGCCAGTAGCCATAAAGAGGGAGGGGGCTGCGTCACTACTACCTTGTAGTAGAAATTAACATTCTTTCTGTAGGAAAATAATCTTTCTGAAAACTAAAGCTGGAAGCATATAAAATATGTGAAATATTCTGGTTTAGAGTAGGATTTGCATGAGATTTGGTCCAACAGAAATTTCCAGAAGTTGATTCCCATATGTCTGAATGAAACTTCGTTTTCTCTAGTATGTTGATTGTGTTTTTAGTCTTTTTTAAAAATTATCTTAATCCCTCTGAAAAGATGAAAACTTTAATTACAGATGTACAAAAGTGATAACTGCTATCCACCTTTTTAATCAGGAAGCTTAAATTTCAAGGATATGTTATTTTCTGAAAAAGATGTTCATATAAGTATAACCTGTGTTCCATAGGTGTTGGCTTGATTGCTTCTGGCCAGTGTGATGTGATTGTGGCAGGTGGTGTAGAGTTAATGTCTGATGTCCCTATTCGTCATTCAAGGAAAATGAGGAAAATGATGCTCGATCTCAATAAGGCCAAGACTCTGGGCCAGCGACTGTCTTTACTCTCTAAATTCAGACTGAATTTCCTCTCACCTGAGGTAAGACTTGTGAACGCTAGACTTCTGTTTCCAGAGCATCCCACTGCAGAGACTCAGGCTTAGGTATAACAGTGTGGGCTCTGGGATGCTCGAACAGCAGTAGATTTTCCTAACTGCAGAGAAAGGTTAAGATGGGGAAAGAAAAACAGTTGTGGTTAGAAAATTTGACTTTGTGAGCTTTCTTTAGAGGACTCTTTAGAGAGCTGCTCACAAAGAGCTTCCCTTGTTTTGGTCTTAAGTTATAGATGGTGAACAAATAGATTTTAACTTTCCCAAAGAACACAGAACGATGTTAGGTGTTAACATTGTACCTGCCCTTGGATGTCTCCTTTGCTAGCTCCCTGCAGTGGCTGAGTTCTCTACCAGTGAGACCATGGGCCACTCTGCAGACCGACTGGCTGCTGCCTTCGCTGTTTCTCGCCTGGAACAGGATGAATATGCACTGCGCTCTCACAGTCTGGCCAAGAAGGCACAGGATGAGGGACTCCTTTCTGATGTTATAGCTTTCAAAGTGCCAGGTAAGACAGGATGCTTCCCAGTACTTATTAGGGAGTTCTGAATTGTGCAGGTTGCTCTAAAACTATAAAAAAAACAAACCAAATGACTTTTCAATAACATGTTGGTTCTGTTTGTATAATGCTAAGCCTTTATCTTTAAACATGGATTCAAGTTGCGATTTATAAGTTGTAACAATAATAAGTAAACATTTTTTACAAGTTTTTGTAAGAGTTTCCTTTTAGATCTTCCCGATATATTTTTGTTCTTAAATACATGCCAATTTTAAAAAGTCCTAATTCGACTTGGTGCCCATAGCTCAGTGAGTAGGGTGCTGGGCACATTGAGGCTGTCAGGTTTAAGCCCAGCCTGGGCCTGCCAAATACAATGACAACTGCAACAAAAAATAGCCCAGTGTTGTGGCGAGCGCCTGTAGTTCCATCTTCTCGGGAGGCTAAGGCAAGAGAATCGCTTTAGCCGAAGAGTTCGAGGTTGCTGTGAGCTGTGACGCCATGGTACTCTACCAAGAGCAGCATAGTGAGACTCTGTCTCAAAAAAAAGAAAAAGAAAAAGAAAAGCGTTGTCATTGGCCACACATTAAATAATTTTTTTTTTTTTTTTTTGAGAGCCTCAAGCTGTCCCCCTGGGTAGAGTGCCATGGCATCTCAGCTCACAGCAACCTCCAACTCCTGGGCTCAAGCGAGTCTCCTGCCTCCGCCTCCCAAGTAGCTGGGACCACAGGCGCCCACCACAACGCCCGGCTATTTTTTGGTTGCAGCCGTCATTGTTGTTTGGCGGGTCCGGGCTGGGGATTAGAACCCGCCACCCTAGGTGTACGTGGCTGGCGCCTTAGCCGGTTGAGCTATAGGCGCCGAGCCACATTAAATAATTAATTAAAGTTTATTAGCAAAAAAATGTCCGTTCAGGGTGCCATGGCATCACAGCTCACAGCAACTTCCAACTCTTGGGCTTAAGCAATTCTCTTGCCTCAGCCTCCCAAGTAGCCAGGACTACAGGCACCTGCCACAACGCCAGCTATTTTTTTATTGTAGTTGTTGTCACTGTTGTTTGGCAGGCCCTGGCTGCGTTTGAAGCTGCCAGCTCTGATGTATGTGGATGGCACCCTAGCTGCTGAGCTACAGGTGGTGAGCCATAAAATTTGATAGTATTCTGATAACTATGAAAGGTTTTCTTCTAGGCTGGGTGCAGTGGCTCATTCCTGTAATCCTAGCACTCTGGAAGGCCAGGGCAGGTGGATTGTTTGAGCGTACATATTTGAGACCAGCCTGAGCAAGAGTGAGACTATATTAAAAATAGAAAAACTGAGGCAAGAGGATCACTTAAGCCCAAGAGTTGGAGGTTGCTGTAAGCAGTGATGATGCCATGGCATTCTACCCAGGGCAACAGGTTGAGACTAGGTCTCAAAAAAGAAAAAAAGAAATAAAAATGGTTTTCTTCTAGTAAATAAAGTTTATATTTCATTTGTTCCTATAATACTAAAAGCCTATTTCTCTGGAGAAAATATATAATGCTTGTAGTTCCCTAGAGCTAAACACTTCCTGTTTTTATAGGAAAAGATACAGTTACGAAAGATAATGGCATCCGTCCTTCCTCACTGGAGCAGATGGCCAAATTAAAACCCGCATTCATCAAGCCCTATGGCACAGTGACAGCTGCAAATTCTTCTTTCCTGGTAACTATTAATGCTATTTGTGTTTAGTAGTGAATTTTATATTTCTGTACTCTTGATAGAAAAGCCTAAAATAGGCGAGAGTGGCGGCTTTGAACCTGGCCCCAGCCAAATGACAACAAAAAAATAGCTGGGCATTGTGGTGGGCGCCTGTAGTCCCAACTACTTGGGAGGCTGAGGCAAGAGAATCGCTTAAGCCCAGGAGTTGGAGGTTGCTGTGAGCTGTGTGACGGTGTGTCCTTGGTATCCACTCTACCAAGGACGATAAAGTGAGACTGTTTCTACAAAAAAAAAAGGAAAAACCTAAAATAGATTTTTGTGCATATGTATTATGAATAGAGGCTTAAAAACATAGTGATTCATTATAAAGATAATGTTAAAATGGAATTATTTAAAAAAATAGAATCATAATTTTAAGACCTTAGAAGTCGCCTAATCGAGCCACTGTTCTGCTATAAAAGCTTTTCTCTTTAGGCACTAAGGTAGTCAGAAAACATTTATTGCCTATGCTGGGCCCGGGAGATGAAAAGAATAGAGAATTCTTTCATGGAGGAAGGGAGGAAGTGCTATTGCAGTTGTAGGCACAGGCTATTAGAGAAAATAAGTAGAGGGCCCCCGACTCAGGTGGGGGTAGTCAGGGAGGCATCATAGAAGAGGGAACTCATGAGTAGCAAATCTTGAAATAAGAATAAAAGCTGTTTAAAGAAGTGTGAAAAAAAGCATTCTAGCCAAAGGGATCAGAAAATGCAAAATCAAGGAGGTGAGAGAGCAAAGGCCTCTTCAGAGAACAGCTAGGTTGGAGGGCGGCACCTGTGCCTCAGTGAGTAGGGCACCGGCACCATATACTGAGAGTGGCAGGTACAAACCCAGCCCTGGCCAAACTGCAAGAAAAAAATAGCCAGGTGTTGTGGCGGGCCCCTGTAGTCCCAGCTACTTGGGAGCCTGAGGCAAGAGAATTGCCTAAGCCCAGGAGTTGGAGGTTGCTGTGAGCTGTGGTACTCACAAGGTACACCATGGTACTCTACCAAGGGCGATAAAGTGAGACTCTGTCTCTAAAAAAAAAATAAGAAACTAGGTTGGAACATAAGTAGGTACAAGGGTAAGAGGATATCTCTTTTAGCTCTAATTGTTAGAAAATGATCCTTTATATTGACCTAAAAATTCTTTTTCAGGCAGTGCCTATAGCTCAGTGGGTAGAGTGCCAGCCACATACACCTAGGCCAGCGAAAACAACAATGGCAACTACAACAACAAAAAATAGCTGGTCTTTGTGGTGGGTGCCTGGTGTCCCATCTACTTGGGAAACTGAGGCAGGAGACTCGCTTAAGCCCAAGAGTTGGAGGTTGCTGTGAGCTAGGATGCCACAGCATTCAGTACTAAGGGCCACAAAGTGAGACTCTGTCTCAAAAATAAAATAAAATAAAATGAAAAAGGAGAATATACCCCCCAAATCCAAAATGCCAAAGAAAAGGAAACTACTCTGTGTACATATAATCTCCAAAATCAGAACAAGTTCTACCACAATCTACTGTATTTTATAACTCAGCAACTTTAAAGAGCTTATGTAGCCATAAAGTCTGGAAAGACAAATGATGATACATAATAAATATTTGTGGACACTACATTAATAACATGTCCAATGTGCCATTGTGCAAAATGGAAATGAACAAACTGGTACGTTAATACGTTTCTGAAAATCCACATATCGGTAATGTGTTGCATCTGTGTCTCTGATTTTCACTAAATAAGGTGGGACCTTTAGCATACCTCAGACTTCTGAATAAAGGGGTTCATATCCGAAAGTGTAGCCCACGCCACATGTCCTATCATCCTATATGGTTTTGGAAATGATAATCTAACCAGTCCTTCAACACCTCAGCTTAATGGGGCAGTACACCATACTGTTGGAACCACTCCACGTACCCTTCCTCTAGTTTATCAAGAGCAGGCGTTAATTAGTCACGTACTATGGGCAAGTATGTCAGACAAACATCTGCCTATTGCCAGACTTTATGGCTGGGTTGGGAAGTTATATTGTAAGAGAAATATTGACCAGCTGGCCTATCTCCAGAAGACTACACCCAAGGTGGTAAGAGAAGAGAAATCACATCTTACAAGCAGCAGCAGAATCAACAGGGATATTTAATTGAAGAGTCAAAAAGCAAAGAAGGTATAAAGCTGTGTAGGGATAGGTAAAAAATAGAAAATAAAACAAAACAAAAATTGGGGCTAGATTATCCATGATGCTTATGGAAAAATAATTTTTTTTTTTTTTTTTTTTAGATAATGTTTCACTATGTCGCCCTCAATAGAGTGCTGTGGCTTCACAGTTCACAGCAACCTCAAACTCCTGGGCTTAGGTGATTCTCTTGCCTCAGCCTCCCGAGTAGGTGGGACTACAGGCACCCGCCAGAATGCCCAGCTATTTTTTTTTGTTGCAGTTTGGCCGGGTTTGAACCTGCCACCCTCAGTATATAGGGCTGGCACCCTACACCCTGAGCCACAGGCGCTGCCCTTATTTATTTTTTGAGAGATGGAGTCTCATTTTGTTGCCCTTGGTAGAGTGCTGTGGTGTCATAACTCACAGCAACTTCAAACTCTTGGACTTAAATGATTCTCTTGCCTCAGCCTCCCAAGTAGCTGGGACTACAGGCGCCTGCCACAACCCCAGGCTATTTTTCTGTTGTAGTTGTCATTGTTCGGTAGGCCTAGGCTGGTTTTGAACATGCTAGCCTCGGTGTATGTGGCCAGCGCTGTAACCACTGTGCTATGGGCGCCAAGCCAATTATGATACTTTTTGAAAAGAGTTCTTTACCCTTGAACTCCAGAAATGAGTCAGTATTTGTGTTTGCATTGTGATTTAGTGATGGATGGGATGATACTATGTTGTTATAAATTGATGCTGAAGTATAAGTTAGTAGATTTAGGAACAGGACATAGAAAATGGCTGTAGAAAGCCCTCCAGGCAGGCAAAATAATTCTTTTTTTTTTTTTTTTAGAGCCAGAGTCTCATTTTGTCACCCTCAGTAGAGTGCTGTGCCATCACAGCTCATAGGAACCTCCAGCTCTTGGGCTTAGGTGATTCTCTTGCCTCAGCTTCCCGAGTAGCTGGACTATAGGCATCCACCACAGTGCCCAGCTACTTTTTTGTTACAGTTTGGCCAGGGCTGGGTTTGAACCCATCACCCTCGGTACGTGGGGCCAGCGCCTTAACTCACTGAGCCACAGGCGCCACCCTGGGCAAAAGAATTCTAACATTGTTCTGGTTAACATTTCAGACTGATGGTGCATCTGCAATGCTGATTATGGCAGAGGAAAAAGCTCTGGCTTTGGGCTATAAACCAAAGGCATATTTGAGGTAAAGTTATCAAGTGAATTGCCTATGATTTCTTTATTTTTATAAACTGGAGCTAACCTCTCTATTTTTTACTTAGGGATTTTGTATATGTATCTCAGGATCCAAAAGATCAACTTTTACTTGGGTAAGTAGTAGTTTACATTTATCCTTGGACTAAAATCAGAAGTACTATTTGATTACCCATAATTATTTCACTGAGTTTAAAGTACATTAAGCCCTGCGTTTGTAATTGGTTTGTGTGGTGGGTTTTTTAAAAATAATAATCCTTTATGTTGGATATAATTTTATAGTTTTGGATTACTTTCATTTTGTTCTGTACATTTTACTTATCATAGATACACACCTTTTTTCATTAAGATGTTATAAGAATATTTTTTATATTATCACACATTCCGCTACACAGTCTTCTTAATAGCTGTTTTACAGGAGCCTCCCAACATTTAGACCGTCTCCCCCTCCCTTACAAGGCTCTGGCCTCACTGGCCTCCATTGACCTTTCTATGCCTTGCCTTTTGAACTCTGATCTTCTTCTAGTTCTTTATGTTACAAGCTTGTCCTTATCCTTCTTTATTTCCTTGTTTATTATCTGTTTCCCCAAATCTAGAATGTGTAAACTTAATAATAACAGAGGAATTGTATGTCCAGTTCACTGTTATATACTCAATAGTTAATATTTGTACAACAGCATCAGTGACTGAGTAAAGGATGTTATGATACCCATGTAAAACTCAGTTTGGGGAATATGAACGGGCTCTTAGGATAAAAATTACAGTTTTAACATATTACTTATTTTTTCTTTTCAGACCAACATATGCTACTCCAAAAGTTCTAGAAAAGGCAGGATTAACCATGAATGATATTGATGCTTTTGAATTTCATGAAGCTTTCTCAGTAAGTCATTTGAAAAACACATTTGAAAGGACTACAGTCATTTTTAAAACATAGTTTATATTTGTAGGAGACAGCAGGGTATGGATTATAATATGAGTGAAACAGGAGTGGAGCTTTGTTTGTTTATTATCTGTGCTCCCTAATTTTAGAATGTGTAAGGTTAATAATAACAGAGGAAATGTGTGTCTAGTTCACTGTCGTATCCTCAATAGTTAATATTTGTACGATAGCATCAGTGAATGAGTAAAGGATGTTCTAATACCCATGTAAAACTCAGTTTGGGGAATGTTTTAAGTACTGACTTAGATTGCTAGGAGGATAAAGAGGAGGGAATCAGGGCCACACATAGTGTATTGGAAAACATTTCTTTTAAGGCCCTTCAAAAATACCAAATTGTTTCTTTGGAAAATTTTCACTGAAAACCAATTTAAAGATTTACTCAGCTTTAAAGTTACACAAACCTATGCCTAAAATAAAGCCTAGGGAGGGATATTAATAACGTGGTCCTTACTGAATTATTTTCCCATCTAGGGTCAAATTTTGGCTAATTTTAAAGCCATGGATTCTGATTGGTTTGCACAAAACTACATGGGTAGAAAAACCAAGGTATGTTTCTGATTTAAAAAACAGTTGTATTTCCAAAGCTCATAAATACTTGGTGCTTGTGGGCAGTGCCTGTGGCTCAGTGAGTAGGGTGCCAGCCCCATATATGAAGGGTGGCAGGTTCAAGCAGGGCCAAACTGCAACAAAATAGCCAGGCATTGTGGTGGGCGCCTGTAGTGCCAGCTACTGGGAGGCTGAGACAAGAGAATCGCCTAAGCCCAAGAGCTGGAGGTTGCTGTGAGCTGTGACACCATGGTACTCTACTGAGGGCGACAAAGTGAGACTCTGTCTCTTAAAAAAAAACAAAAACAACTTGGTGCTTGTTTATCTACTAATAATAACATAAAAGGGAAAGCTTCTCTTTTCTTTGAAGAATTTTGTCCTTCACTAAATTTATTTATTTATTTGTTTAAAAATACTTCCTGGAATCTCTTTAACAAAAATAAAAGTAAAATTCTATGTTAACTTTTTGTTCCATTTTGACATTAGATGAAAAAATAAATGGATTCTTTTAACATTGACCTAAACTCCCTTTCTTTTGTAGTAAAATTATTTTTGATGTGTCTGTCATTGTTTCTCTCTGTCTCTGTTACTTCCTGTTATTAAAAGCCTGGCTTGATTCTTAAGTAAACTTATCTCTACATTTTGTGTTTTTACTTTTGTGGGAACCAGGTTGGATTGCCTCCGTTGGAGAAGTTCAATAACTGGGGTGGATCTTTGTCCCTGGGACACCCGTTTGGAGCCACCGGCTGTCGGTTGGTCATGGCAGCTGCCAACAGATTACGGAAGGAAGGAGGCCAGTACGGCTTAGTGGCTGCCTGTGCAGCCGGAGGGCAGGTATGTTGCAGCAGCTTCATGAGAATTGAGAAAAGTCATTTTCTTGGAGACAAAGCAAGTTTATCATTAGAACATTTGATTTAATTTAGTCCAAACCATTCTTCAAGCAGTTCCTGATGACCTGGGTGGGGAGCCAGATGAAAGGACATAACAACTTTAATTCTGATAATACTTTAAAGGAAGTGTCAGTACCACTCATTTGACTTTTTTTTTTAAATTTAAATCCAAACTATTTTTTCTCCTCATATAATGTTGATATATTTTTGTAATGAAATATATATTTCATTATTATGAAAACTATGGAAATATAAAAAGTATATAGAAAAATTAGAGTCTCACTTTGTCACCCTCAGTAGAGTGCTATGGCAACACAGCTCACAGCAACCTCAAACTCTTGGACTCAAGAGATTCTCTTGCCTCAGCCTTCCAAGTAGCTGGGACTATAGGCACCCACCACGACACCCTTTTTGTTCAAGTTGTCATTGTTGTTTAGCTGGCCAGGGTTGGGTGTATGTGGCTGGTGCTGTAACCACTAAGCTACAGGAGCTAAGCCTTTTTATTTTCTAAACACACACTCGCTAGCTCTCTTACTCACACCTTTTTTTTTTTTTGAGTCAGTCTCACTATATCTCCCTGGGTAGAGTGCCGTGGTGTTACAGCTCACAGAAACCTCAAACTCTTGGGCTCAAGTAATTCTCTTACCTCAGCTTCCCAAGTAGCTGGGACTAGACACCTACCATGATGCTCAGCTCTTTATTAGAGACAAGGTCTCGCTCTGGTTCAGGCTGGTCTTAAATCCGTGAGCTCAGGCAATCCACCTGCCTTGGCCTACCAGAGTGCTAGGATTACAGGCATGAGCCTCTGCGCTGAGCTGAATTATATCTTAACTGAGAGATTAATTTACCTCTGGATAATTTCCTGCTCTTCAGCTGGGGAAAATTACGTTATTCTGACAGATTTTTTCCCTTTTTACCGCACTTGCATTACAGATCCAACTTCCTACCTGCTATAACATTTCACTCTTAGATTACAATTCAAAAGAAAGACTGACAATAGTTTGTTTTGTGTTCTTTTTTTTAATCCCAGTGTGAACAAGTTTTCTTTTCTTCCAGATTACAGAAACTTGCTGTTACTAATCAAGATGAATAAATAAGATATTTAAAAGCATAAACATCTTACATTTAAAAGGCTTTATTTGTGGCTTTTCCTTGGAGATTATGGGATATGCCAAGAATAATGCCCAGTACCTTTCTTCTAGAAGCTTACAGCATAGTAAGGGGAGAAGATGTGATGTATCTGAGAGACTAGATGAAACTTGTTGGCACTGTCTTGTCAAGAGCCAAATGGGCCAGATGTGGTGGTCCACACCTGTAAGTCCTAACATTCGAGAGGCTGAAATGGGAGGATCCCTTGAGCTCAGGAGTTTGAGACCAGCCTGAGCAAAATGAGACCCCTTTCTTCTGAAAGTAGAAAAATTAGCTGGGTGTTGCTGCAGATGCCTGTAGTCACAGCTACTTGGGAGGCTGAGGGAGGAGGATTGCTTGGGCCCAAGAGTTTGAGGTTGCTATGAGCTATGATGCCATGGCACTCTAGCCTGGGCAACAGAGTGAGACTCTGTCTCCAAAAAAAAAAAAAAAAGTCAAATGAGTGGTACTGACATCATTAAGCCATCAGAGGAGGAATCCATCATCACAGATCTAGAGCAGAATGTCTCAACTTTGACACTACTAACATTCAGGCCCTCCATGGTATGACATAGGATGTTTAGCACGGCCTTTACCCACTAGATAGCACTAGCAGCAAACTCCTCCCATTTCTGCCCTCTATACAGACATGATTGGGTCTAAGAAGAATATCTCCAGACATTGCGAAAGGTCCTCTAGGGAGGTTAAGGGGCTAAATCGCCCCTATTTGAGAACCACTGACCTAGAGCAATAAAAAATATGGAACGTAAAAATAGGATATTTTAAATAAAGCTAGAGAAGAATGTGCTGCCTTATGAGTCCTTCCCAGACAAACTCCCAAGTCAGACCTTTCCATCCCTGTTCTTTTTTTGTTTATGCCTTTTAAAAAAAGTACTTAACTATTTTGAACTACAACATGTGCTAGATTGATGGCAGAAACCATGTAGCAAATCTTTAAACCCACACAGTATTCAACTTAATGCCTTAGAAATACTAGTCCTGTAATAAATATTTATGGGGATTGAATTGAATTTAGCAGCAGGAAGATTAGTTAGCTATTAATGGCAGTCCAGAGGTTAGAATGAGTGTGATTATCAGAAAGGATTTAGACTCATGACATCATACACTGCTCCACTAGGTTTAAACTAAGGACATAACCATGCTGGAGAAGAGATACTCTACTTCTTCCTTCTGTGGTCCCTCAGATCATCCTTAATCTTGTAGAGTAGTGAAGAGGGATGAGCCCAGGCTTTGGAGTCATCTAGACCTAGACCTGGTTTCAAATACTGGCCCTGTTGTTACTTAATAGCTTTTTTTTTTTCTTTTGAGACAGTGTCACTTTATCACCCTCAGTAGAGTGTTGTGGCTTCATAACTCACAGCAACCTCAAATTCTTGGGTTTAAGGGATTCTGTTGCCTTAGCCTCCCAAGTAGCTGGGATTACAGGCACTCGCCACAATACCTGGCTATTTTTAGAGGTGGGGTCTCTCTCTAGCTCAGGCTGGTCTCAAACTTGTGTGCTCAGGCAATCCATCTGCCTTGGCCTCCCAGAGTGCTGGGATTACAGGTATGAGCCACAGTGCCTAGCCTACTTAATAGCTTTGTGATTTGGGTGAGTCACTTAACCTTCCAAAGTCTTAAGTTTTCTCACCCAGAAGTTTACTTTATCAGCATTCACTGTATTATTTTTGTTTGTTTGTTTTATTTATTTTTAGACAGTATCTCAAGCTGTTGCCGTGGGTAGAGTGCAGTGGTGTCACAGCTCACAGCAACCTCAAACTCTTCAGTGATTCTCTTGCCTCAGCCTCCCAAGTAGCTAGAACTATAGATGACCGTCACAACACCTGGGTATTTTTTGGTTGCAGTTGTCATTGTTGTTTTAGCAGCCTGGGCTGGGTCAAACCCGCCAGCCCAGGTATATATGGCTGGCCACTGAGCTATGGGCACCACTGTATCATGTTTATTTTTATACAGTTAAAAACACCTGCGATTTCTCATTTTACTAGCAACCATACCAGTGTAATAATATATATGTATACATGTATATGTGTATATATATGTATAAAATATACAGAGGATGCCAAAAAATGTATACCCATTTTAAGAAATGAAAAAAACTGCCAGGTGGCTTGGTGCCTGTAGCTTAGTGGCTAGGGCACTGGCCACATACACTGGGGCTGGTGGGTTCGAACCTGGCCTGGGCCTGCCAAACAAGAAAATAGCTGGATGTTGTGGCAGGTGCCTGTAGTTCCAGCTACTTGGGAGGCTGAGGCAAGAGAATCACTTAAGCCCAAGAGTTTGAGGTTGCTATGAGCTGTGACACCATGGTACTCTAGAGTGAAACTCTGTCTCAAAAAAAATTTTTTTAATAGAGTTTTCTCCTTTCTTAAAATGTGTATGCATTTTTGGCACCCCTTGTATGTGTATATGTGTGTGTATCTCTGTACACACACACACACATATATATATACACAACACTTATATACTTGTATGCTATTTAGAGACCAGGTCTCATTCTCACCGAGGCTGGAGTGGTGGCCCAGTTATATAACTCACTGTAACCTTGAAATCCTGGGATCAAATGATCCTCCTACCTCAGCCTCCTTAGTAACTAGAACTACAGGTGCATACCACCACATCCAGCTAATTTTTATATTTTATGTAGATATGGAGTCTTGCTATATTGCCCATGCAGGTCTTGAACTCCTGGTCTCAAGCAGTTCTCCTTGCTTGGCCTCCCAAAGTTCTGGGATTATAGGCATGAGCCCCTGTGCCTGGCCAATATATGCTATTCAATTTAATTGTTCACAAAAATTCTGGGGTAGACACTGTAAGCCCATTTCTGTGGAGGAAATTGAGGTTCATAATGCTGCAAACTTGTCCAAGATCACAGAGAGATTAAATGGCAGAGCCAGGATCTAACTCCAAAGCTTATACTTTTCCCATTGTTTTTTGCTGCCTCTAGCGAGATTCATCACCATTCATTGCTAATTAAACTTCTTTTTCTTTACAGGGCCATGCTATGATAGTGGAGGCGTATCCAAAATAACAGATCCAGAAGAGGTGACCTGAAGTTTCTGTGCAACACTCATACTAGGCAATGCCATTTCAATGCATTACTAAGTGACATCTGTAGTTCCTAGCTCCTCTTAGGAAAACAGTTCTGTGGCCTTCTGTTGAATACTTTGCAAATTAAGCCTTGCCAGTATTCTAAGCTCTTTAGTAATCACTGCTTACTGCTCTTTCAGGGATTTCTATGTCATACAGATACAGAATCTCATACAGGTATGTGTAAATAGTTGATTTTGGTCTCTATTGTCAGTAAAGACTAAATGAGTGGTTGCAGTTAGGAAAGAGATCAGCTGAGATTTGGAATCATCTTTGTAACTTTTGCATATTACACCTGTTCCTATCTGTGTCGTAAAGATCAGTGTTTTCTATAAGATACAAACCAATGTGCCTAAATTAACAATTATGGAAAAATTATTCAGAATCTAAATGTCACTGAAATGTGTACTACATGCTTAGATACGTAAATATCATGGTGGTCAACCTTAATAAAGTGGAGACGTATGTTTGACTTTTTTTTTCTGTCATTTCAATAAATAATATTAGAAAAACTACCACATATAAAATATAAAAGATTGAAGTTGGACCCTTACCTTATGCTTATATAAAAATTAACTCAAAGTGGGCTGGGCTCAGTGGCTCATGTCTGCACTATGGGAGGCCAAGGTGGGCCAACTGCCTGAGCTCATCAGTTCAGGACCAGCCTAAGCAAGAGCAGAATGAGACCCTGTCTCTAAAAATAGCCAGGCATTGTGGCACCCTATGTGCCAGCTACTCTGGAGGCTGAGACGAGAGAATGGCTTGAACCCAAGAGTTTGAGGTTGCTGTGAGCTGTGATGCCACAGCACTCTACCAAGGGCTACAAAGTGAGACTCTGTCTCAAAAAAAAAAAAAAAAAATTAACCGAAAGTGGATCAAAGACCTAAACATCAAAACTGAAATTATAAAACTCTTAAAAGAATAAATAGGGGGAAATACGTGACATTAGATTTGGCAATAAATTCTTGGGTAGAACACCAAAAAATTGGGCAACAACAAAAAAATAGATTAAATTGGATTTCATCAAAATTTAAAACTTCTCTGCATCAAAGGACACAATCAACAGAGCAAAAGGGTAACCTATGGAATGGGAGAAAATATTTGCAAATCATATATCCAGTAAGTGTTTAATATCCAGAATATATAAAGAACTACAATTTATACCCAGAAAAACAACCTCCATTATAAAATGGGCAAAGAATTTGAAAATCTTCATCTCCACAGAAGACGGCCGATAAGCACATAAAAAGATGTTCAACGTCTCTACCCACTAGAGAGATACAATCAAAACCATAAAGAAATACTGCTTCCCATCCAGTAGTAAAGCTACTATTGAAAGAACAGAAAATAGCAAGGGTTGGTGGAGAAATTCCAACCCTGTTGTGCTGTTTGTGAGACTGTAAAGTGGTGCTGTTGCTATAGAAAACAGCACAGCAGTTCCTCAAGAAATTAAACAGAATTATATAAACCAGCAGTTCTACTTCTGGGTATATACCTAAAAGAACTGAAAACAGGGTCTTGAAGAAATACTTGTATACACATTTTCAGAGCAGCATTATCCACAACAGTGAAAAAAAAGGTGAAAGCAATTCCAATATCCATGCATAGATAAACAGATAAAGTTCAGATAAATGGATAAACACACTGTATACACATAGGATGGAGAACTAAGCAGCCTTAAAAGGGAAGGCAATCCTGTGACATGGTACAGCATGGATTGAACCTCCAGGACATTACGCTAAGTGAAGAAAGCCAGTCAAAGCCACAGACTGTCTCAAAAAAAGATTAAAGAAGATGGACCAATTAACTTCACCTTTTCCTAAGCTTGAAACAAATCAAATTCTACTCTTCATCTGCAGCAATTTTTGGATCAGAGGTTCCTGTCCATTAAGTCATCCTTTCTTCATGACTATTCAAAAAGAAACAATCAAAAAAGAAATCACTGAATAGTTAAAACTATTTTAATCAAGTATACCTATAACATTCATTGTTGATTAGTTAAAAACTGGTTGAAACAGTTTATTCATAATTATTTTGAACTGGGATATCTTGATTGCTTTTATAACAAGGGCAGGTTTATTCATTAGGTGGCTTTAGTTTTTCATGCTATTCTTGCTCGGATACTTAGGGGTTGGGACAGGCGAACGGCAAGAGAAATGAGTGTGACTAATGGAAATAGAAGCCTGACTTTCCCAGGGCTGAACTCTGAGTGGGGAAGAATTCAGAGTATTGGGCTGGGGCCTATCTGGTAAATTCAAGCACACAGCCTCAATTCCCTTGCAGGAACATGGGTCTGGTGTGGCTCCCTTTGAAGCATTGTTCTTCCCTGTGAAGGAGCTGAAGCTTTGGGCTGGGGAAGGGAGACCTTGCCCAACCTCTACAGACCCCTCTCTCTGAACCTCAATGGCAATTCCGTCCAGGCAAGGGTTTTTCAGGATAATTAAAAGTGTGATAGTATGAAAAGGAATTTTCAGAGTAAACTGAGTCAAGAATTAACAGTGGTTAAACTCCCTCTGGCTTTCTTGGAAAGCGTTCTGCTTTCTGGGCCTCCACCTCCCCTAGTCCATCTAGAAATGGTGTCTGGAAAAGCCTGCTTTCCACCCTCTGGGCTGGGCTGGGACATGAAAAGGAGCCTTAAAACTCTGCCAGGTGGCTCTTTGCTACACCCCTCTTTGCTCCACACTGCTCACCTCACTCCAAAGAAAGCTAAAGCTCTCACCTGGCAGTTTCGCTTCCTCCTTTCCTATAGTCCAAAATGTAGCTTTCATTTGTGGCCTAGGAAGAAGTAGAAAGGCCCAAATGCAGAAGATTATTATTAGTCTCCTTAATAATCCATTTGGAGACTATCCAAAGGTTGTATCCATTTGAGTTTCTTGTGTGCCACTCCTGCCTGGGCTGCAGTAATCCTAGGACCTGTTCTCAGCTACAGTAACTCCCATACACACTGAGCCTATCTTTTCCCCTCAAGTGCTAGCTGGACATAGATTTCTTTTTTTTAAGGCGAATCAAATGAAGCAGTAGGAGTAGAGAAGGAACAAAAGAATCTATAACTGGTTGTGATACGGACACAGGGACAAGAGAGTCACTAGGGAGCCCATGTCATAACTGGGAAACCAGAAATCTGATTCTGACTGTTCTGACTGGGCTGTTCTCTCCAAGGTCTGAAAGCTTGAATGTGAAAACTGCTCTATAAAAAACAACCCCAATCTTCTCTGCTTCTAGCCGTGCCCATGTCCTTTGGGGAAGGCTGTGGAACACCTTCTGACCTGCTCTCAGGATTTGAAGCTGGCAACTTACCAAGGAGACAATGGAGTTGGGGGGCCAGGTGTGGCAGAAGCGTTTGCGCAAAGCTTCTTGCACCTGCAGGAGAAGTCAACACCCCAGTTACACCAGCAAAGGCTTGACCTTTGCACTGAGGCAGGTGTAGGGCTAGATAGGCAGACTCACCTTCTTGTCCATAAGGCAACCAAACAGTAAGATGAAGACACCCTGAGAAGAGGAATACGGGGCATGCTGGTCACAGTGGAAGACGTCAACCCAAGTCAACTCACTCCCTCTGCTCTTCCTTCAATCTCTGTCCTCCTGTCTAATTCACACCCTGAGGCTGCACATCTCTGTTTTTCTGACCATTAGTACTCTTAGGTACATAGGATCCATCCTGGATGCTGTTCTTATTGTTATGGTAACAAAAGGGATATCAAAGGATTGGGTACTGACAATTTCCTGAATTCTCTGGCGAAATAAACTATTACTTTATAGATAAGAAAACCAAAGCTCAGAGAGATTATGTAATTTTTCCAAAGCTATCTAGCTAGTCAGTGGAGGAACTGGGACCCATATCTAAGCCTCCTAAAATTTCTGAACATATTTTCTTCTGCTTCACTGTAACTCAACCTTGAGAAGGGATTGGCAATGACTTAGACCATCAAAAGGACAAAAAGTACAGCCACACCCCTGCCACCTACCTGGAAAGTGTTGAGAACAGTGAAGATATAATGAGGGACTGTGGAGACTTCTTCTAACAGAGTGGCCAGGCCCAGCCCCCAGGTGAGGCCAAAAATGGGCGTGAGAATGAGCAGGGCTTTGATCACCCCCAGAAGAGCTTGGCGCTTCTCTGTGGGAGGCCCCTCGGACAGCGAAGGTCTCAGCAACTTCAGCACAGCCATAGCTAGTACCAGCCCGTTCACACCTACAATGGCCAGCACTGGCCCCACAAAAGTGTAGACAGCCCCTCCCTTCCCATCCAACCAGCACTCCCCCTCCCTCAGATATTGCCCTCTAGGTAGGTAGAGACCCAGGGTGACACCTGCAAACCCCAGGGGGCACAGGTAGCCAAGGAGCACCATCAAGGGGAGGACTTGGTGCTTGGACAGCTGCCGGAAGACAAAGAGCAGCTGGTGGGCCAACACCAGGGCCTGTGCCAGCATCCAGAAAAAAGTGGCCAGGTAGAGGAAATGACAGAGGAAGGTAGCAGCCAGGCAGAGTGGGCTGCGGGACCCTGGAGGGAGCAGCGGGGCTCCCAGGAAGCAGGTGTCTGCTGCCAGCAAGCAGAGCACCACATTGAGCAGGGCAGCATGGCGGAAGTAGGCGACTTTGTTCCGCACCACGACTCTCCACACCAGCCGGTACACGCCCAGGCACATGAGCAGCGCCAGTATGGAAGTACCCAAGCCCAGCTGACTCAGCAGTGTCAGGGCAGGATTTTCTGGAATAGCATGTCGGGACATGAGGATGGAGAAGGCAGTGAGGTGCTGGCAGATGCACTGAGTGTTCGGGCTGGTGCTGGCTGCCTGGGCCTGGCACCCTTCTTTGGACCAACCCCCTTTGCCCTGGAAGAGATTGTGATCCCAGAAGACACAATGAGGAGTACCTTTTGTGTGCCCAAAGTCCATGATAACCTCTCCCTGTGTGGAGGTCTTGCCATCTGCCATGATGGAGATGACAAGAACCAGGCCAGGAGTGGTGGAGAGGGAGCCCCCCAGCCCTTGCCCATAGTTTGAGGGCAGAAGGTGGTCCAGTTTTTGTAGCACCAGGCTAGTTATACTGACTTGAGTTCCATTATGGTTCAGTGAGGCCAGTGAGTGCCTGGGAATTTGGGCCTGCAGAGGGGGCCGGGTGGAGAAGGAGACCTTGTAGTCTGTAGGAAATGTGGGTCCAAGGAGCTGGGTCTGCAGCTGCACATTGGGCAAGCTGAAGGTGAAAGGGTGATCTTGTGGGCACAAACTGTGTGCCAGGGTCTCCACAGCCAGCAGGAGAGTTGAGCCCACCCGGGGCTTCTTGGCCTGGGCCGGGGTCCACAGAGAACTGGTGTCCATGTCTAGAATCTTGTCTGTGGTTGTCAGAAGATTCTGCAGCATCCAACAGAGAAATAAACCCTATCTGCTGGAGCCTGCAACACTCAGCCGGGAGCACTGCGAACTTCAGACCCCAAACCTGCCCTCCCCAGGTCGGAGTAAGACCCCAGGTTGGAGAGAATTGGGGAGAGAACTGGCCTATGAAGGAGACTTTCCGGAAGGAAAGGATGGGAAGCTGGTCTGCCAACCATCTGGGGGCATCTCCAAGTGTGCATCCCCTGATCCACAGGCAGCCCCTCTGCCTCACAGCCCTTCTTCCCCTTCATCCCTTGGGGCCACCCAGGTCCTAAGAGGATAGAGGGCACCAGGGTCTGAAGGTGAGGGCCACATGCATGTCAGTCTACCATGTGTGCTACATATCCCCAGACATGAAAGGTGAGGAATGGCATTGCCCCTCGTATTCTTTCTGCTGCAGCTTACAGGTGACCATGAGGCCCATACTGAGCTGATCCAGGTGAGCCCAGCAAAGCCAAGTGTGTTTGAATGTCTCCCTGTGAGCATCTTGTGTGTGTCATAGTTACACGTGTGTGTAACTGTGTGTGCTCACATCTCCATACCCTTTCTTGCCTCTCACCCTCCCATGTACTTCCAGCACCAGGCCTTTCCCAGACTCCATCACCTGGGAGACTGGTGTGCAAGAGGAAAGGGACCAGGAGAGCAGACACTTGGGCTCTAGAAAGGTCTGCTCTCTGATAGCCTGCGGTGATGTCAGAGGGACAGAAGTGCGCATAGATGAAAAGCCTCTGTGCCCCGCTGCCCAGCTAGCCCTGCTGTGGCTCAGGGATCTTACCTCCATGGCACTGCGGGCAAGCTGTACTCTGGCCTTTGTGGTTACCTCAGCCAGGCATCTCATGATGCCCACTGCAACCAGTAGGTCAGAGGCTGAGCTTGCCCCTGCCACCACCCCTGACAGCTCCCTCAGGATCAGTGGCACCTCTGCTTCAGGCCTGCCCTGGCCTGCCCGCAGCAGCTGAGACAGACAAGATGGCAGAAGCTGGGTGGCGTCAGAGTCCTCACGACGGAGGGGCCACTCCCTCTCCTGTCCAGCCCTTCCCACACCCATACCCACACCTTGTCCCAGGGGAGCAGAAACAGAGAGGGGAGTGAGTGAGCCACATGGAAGGCAGTGACACCAATGGAAAGGAATAATGGTTGAGAGCAGCATCCACTCCCATGGAGAGTTCAGCCCCTCGAAGGCCCCCACACCCACTTCCCAGCTCTGCTAGGGCTCCAGTTCAGAGAAGCTGAATAAGCTATGCGCTGGGTCCTGAGTGAGGACCGGGGGTCATGGAGGGGACCTGTGAGCACGGGACAGAAGCCCACCTTGGCTCTAGCAAACAAGGCCAGGAGCCTCTCATCTGTGCAGCTGCTGTGGATGGACCCCCAGACCCCATCAAGCCCACAGGGCCTCTTCACCACTCCCCTCTTGTTCATGGGACATGGGGCCTGTGCCACATGGCCAGCCTTGGTGACATTCCAGGTGACACCTAAGGAGTCCTCAGGGCAAGTGACATCTCCATCTGAAGAACAATGTCAGGAAAGACTCAGCAATCACAATCCAGCCCCAGCCTTCCCTTAGACAGTGACCTGAGCAGGCCCCGGAGCCTGGCCCCCCAGACCCAGGCAGAAGAGCTTGTGCTCCACTGTAGACAGCTGAAGTTGGCCCATGGGACCCCAGACCCCACATACCCTGGATGATGGTGACAGAGACAGGGATCCTCAGGGGAGCAAGGCCTTGGCTCTGCAGGTCACAAGTATATGTGGTGTCAGCTGCTGGGCAGCGCCGAACAGTCAGCATGAGGCACTGAGACCCTGACGTGTTCAATAAGAAGGCTGAGGATGAGAAGAGAGAAGGGAGCCATCACTGGGCTTGTTCCAGGCCTGGAGCCCTGCAGGCCTAGATGTACTGTTTCAGTCTTTCTAGCAATTTTAGAAGCAGGTGAAGCAGTGGGGAAGAGCAGAGTGGTGTGTGGACATCAAATGACAGAGCCCAGAGCTTATATACTGCTGAGGGGGGTGCTGGGGGTCCCAAAGTACCTCCAGGACCCAGTGTAATCATTTGTAAAGTGAGGACTATCCTCAAACTAACCTTCCAGAGACTTAAACGAGATTGTGTGCATGAAAGCATTCTACAAAAACTTACCTATACACATGCGGTCATGGTATATCAGTAGAGGTGGGATTGCTTTGATGGGGTTGTTGGACTCGGACCCCCAACTCCCTGGTAGAACTGCAGCCCACTGCTTCTCATGAGCTGAAGACCCAGCCACCTGGAGGAGACAAGCTGCCCCCTTTCACCCCTGACCTGATAGTCACCCCCTTCTCGTACCTTTGCTGTCCTCTCTGGGGCTCCAGGCAGCCATGTATGCTGGGTCCGTGCTGGGGATACAGCAGCTCAGCTGGAAGCCTGGGGAGGTGGCGCAGGAGATGGAGAGCTGGTCTGGGAGTCGAGTCACATCTGTCACCTTCAAGGGCACCCTCACCACCTGGTACAGGTTCCACTTGAATCCCTGGGCCTCGAAGCAGCTCACGTACTCACCTGCAGACACCCATCTGCTGCACCTTGGACTCCTCTGGGCCTGCCCACACCACAGAATCTCTGCTGTCTCCCCAGCCTCAGCCCAGGTCTGCCTTGGAGCTCCCCTCTGCTGCCGCCACCCAAACGCTTAACCTCAGCAAGAAAGGTCCCAGGAGGGCCCATGTAGAAGATATTCCCTGCCTTCGAGAAGGAGTTCCAGGAGGAAGTAGAAATCTAGAGAAGAGGCTTCTGGCCCTTTTCATTAGCCTGTGCCCACGAACTAACTCTAAGACGAACCTCCCTCCCTACAGCAGATGTCCCTCCCGCTCCACCCCTACTACTGTAGCATCTAAAAAACATGGACCTGCTCTCAGCCAAATTCAAGAATATATTCTCAGCGTGCCACACATTGTAATATTTTTCTTAACAGACATGTTTTTATGAAAAATAACCACAGTTTCCAAAACAAAATATTAAGTAGAAGAGTGAGCAGCATACAGGACATTGTTTCATATTTGTGCCAATCTCTTTAATGTCTGGCATAATGGAAGCAAGAGGGTTGTCCTATTAGCTTCTGTATTCAATCTGTGTTGACATCCCTGCCCTGTGGAAGAGGCTGCTATCTACTCCTGAGGGAAGGAGGGGGAAAGATGCAAATGACATCCGAGTATATTAGGACAATAATCGTGAGCTTGTAAACCCCTAGAAGGGTCCCAGAAGTCGCCAGATCATGATGAAAACAGCAGGCCACTTTTAGAATTTTCCACATTATAATTTTCATACCAATGGCCCCTTAGCCTTTGTTTCTTCAGAATGAATAAATAGAAAGATGAAAAGGGTAAAGAAGAGGTAAAAAGAAAAGAAGAAAGGAGGAGGAGGGAAGAAGTAAAGGAAATCAGAGAAGAAAGGGAAGAAGAAGAAGAAAGAAAAAGAAAAGAAGAGAAAAAAGTGGAAAAGAGAGGTGAGGAAAGGACAGGCTGACTACCTGCCCAGTGGTGGGACATGTTGGTGATGCTGAGGGCAGCCTGGTCCCGGCTGGAGGTCAGGGACACCTGTGTCCCTGGCTGCAGGAGGACCAGTCTGGGGCTCCCTGGAGGCCTCAGGAACCAGCTCAGGTTGGTGGCCTCCTGGCTGATGAGAAGAGTCAGGTTCAGAGTGTCACCAGGCATTTGCAGCGGGGAGTTCAGGCTCAGGTTTCCCGGGACTGCAGGAAGGCAGGAGATTAGGGGATCCCTGGAGAGCTCACTTCTTCCTGTCTCTGAGGCCCATTCTTCCAAGTTCCCTCCCGCCTAACTTTTTTTTCTTTTTGTCCCTGGATGGGCATCTGAGTGTACCCTGCTGAAGTCTAGACTGGAAGTCCCTAACTGTTTGTGGGAACCAAAGAGACATTCCCTTCCCCAGGTAAGGTGGGCTGCTAGAGCTACTTCCCGGCTTCTCAGGGTAAAAACAGGGGCACCCTAACACTTTCTTCTATGTCCCTATGTCTCTGGGACCCGTTCTTTAGTCTCAGGACCTGTGATCTGCTATGGAGGGTGGCTTTTTCTCCCACCCAGAGAAGCAGCTGGGCTTGGGCCAGCCGGCCAAAATCCAAAATACAGATTGGGAGAGGAAAGAACTGCAGAGAGCATTTCTGACACTTGCAGCCATTGGTTTCCAAGCTCCCAACCCTCCTCACCAGGCGGCAGCAGCTGGCAGGACTCAGGTTCAGGGTGGTTGAAGACAAGACAACTGCAAGGCTGGTGGGTGTGAGGGGCTCGGCAGGAACGATGATGGGAGCAGGTGGTGGCATTCCACTGGTACCCAGAGAGACAAGCACAATCAATATGCCCCTCAAGGTTGACACTGCACTCTGTGACAGAGAAGGGGGGTAAAATGTCGGCAGCTGTCTGAGAAGCCAGGTGGGCACCTGAGAGACTTTAGGGTTGGACCCAGCCCAACTCTGGACCTTCTCTTCTCAGGCCTGGCTCAGGCATGAGGGTGCAAGTCCCTACCTCTGGGCCTTTGTTAGGCAGGATAGGTGGGTGTCAGGGCCAGAGAGAAAGAACCAGGCAGCCCCCCCCAGGAAATGGGGCGGGGCTCACAGGGCCTCTGGCAAGCTAGCTGTGAGGGCTGGGAAGCCAGTTCCCTCCACTCCAGCAAGTGGTACCTGTTGTGAGACTGAGGCCAGTGAGGGTTCTTGGGGAAGCGGAGGCCAAGGCAGCGGGGAGAGTCCGGATTCTGGAGAGTACCAGCGGCCAGGTGTAGTCTGAGAGGTTCAGACGCACATAGCCAGAGACCAGGGCTGATTCCACAGGAGCAGAGGGGACAGCTGGAAAGGAGAGGCAGCAGGGCAGTTCCTTCTCACCTCCCACAGGAGCTGGCCATACCCAGCTGTGAGGCGCACAGACAGGACTCTCTGAGCATTCAGATGCACCCGCTTCATGTCATCCTCCCAGGGGCCCCACTTTACAGTGAAGCCTTAGAGGTGAATGAGCTCCCCCAGGCCTCACAGCAGGAGAGCCTGAGTCAGACCTGGCCCCCTGCCTGAGCGCACCCTCTCTCTACTCCCTCCCAGCACCCTCTTCTGGGCCTGTCTTTCCACAGGCTTCCTGCTCCCTTCTCCTTCTCCTGCCTCCTTCCCTGGCTAGCCACTCACCTCCTGCTCTACTCTCTTGGTCTAGGAGCTTCTCAGAGTCCCCTCCCATCTGACTCTGTCCCTGAAACAGAACACAAAGGGAAGACTTCTGAGGAGAGGTTGACCACAAGTCCTTCCGAAGGACACCTCAGCAGCCACCCTGGCTGGTCTCAACAAGGATGGCTTCACTCTTGGAAGCTCTTCTTTTTCCTGGGAATCTACATACTCATTGGGAAGCAGAAGCAGGAGCCCTACCAGGGCCTGCAAATCCCACCCAAAACCAGGAACCAGGCACACCCTGGAGAGTCAATATGCTTTGTTTAATTCCTTCCTGAATTTACCTGTCCCTGGGCCTCTAGGTCAATTGAAATGGTTGGGTCTGGAGCTCCAGCAGGGTGCTGGGCAGAGCTGGCTGGGGACTTTATTCCTTCCATAGGATTTGACACAGGGGGAGCAGAAGGCAGCTTCTTCCTCTAGTCTCTGGTTCCTGTGTATTTTTTCCTCACCATCTCCTCCCTCTCTCAAAATTGCAGGTGCATGGGCAGTGCCCATGCTCAGTGGTTAGGGCGCTGGCCACATACACCAAGGCTGGCAGGTTCAAACCCAGCCTGGGCCTGCTAAAACAACAATGACAACTACAACAAAAAAGTAGCCAGGCATTGTGGGTGCCTAGAGTCCCAGCTACTTGGGAGGCTGAGGCAAGAGAATGGCTTAAGCCCAGAGTTTGAGGTTGCTGTGAGCTGTGATGCCACAGCACTCTACCCAGAGTGACAGCTTGAGACTCTGTCTCAAAAAAAAAAAAAATTGCATGTGCATGTGGCTATCAGTGTAAAACCAGATGCCAATACAGATGCAGATGTGGACATGGATACAGATGGATAAACTGGGTGTGGCGGTGCATGCTTACAATCCCAGCCACTTGCGAGGATCACTTGTCCCTAGGCGATTGAGACCAACTGGACAACATAGCAAGATTCTGTGTCTACAAAAATAATAAAAGGCGGGCAGCACCTGTGGCTCAAAGGAGTAGGGGGCTGGCCTATATACCAGAGGTGGTGGGTTCAAACCTAGCCCTGGACAGAAACTGCAAAAAATAAATAAATAAATAAATAAATACAAGGCTACAGATAGATTTAGGTATTGATATGTATGTAGATATACAATACATAAAGATAGATACAGATTTAGATTTAGAGACAGAAATAGATTTGGATTTAGAAATACAGCTGTGTAGACTCATATAGACACAGGTATAGGGATCTGCCTGGGAGAAAACAGATTTAAAGGTACTAATCTTGACTCTGATGCTTTTCACCAATGGTTCCCAAATCTGAAAAGTTACCTTTTCTTTTCATTTTTAAATGGCCAGCTTGACTGAAAGAGTCTTTATCCAAAGTACAGCAGGTGTCAGTGCAGCTCAAGGGACTCAAACAAAGAAATAAGGCTACCCCCACACGCAAGAAAATCAGACCGGACACTCCAAGGCTGTAACAAACTGGCTTCTTCTCTTTTACACTACTTCCTCTCCCTTCAGCCTTTGCCCTCCACCTGTCCCCTATGCCACACTTTGCTGTCCCTCACAACCAGAGTCTCCTCGCATCCCCCCTCCACTGGGTCCTCCCAGTCTTACTTACCGGTTGGAATGCTCGGGCAGCTGGTGATCCCAGCAGGAGAATAATCATGGCCAGGAGCAGCAGGTGGGCAGCCGAAGAGACCATGGCTCAGTGAAGCAGTCTCTACAAGGCCATGATGCAAATTTCCTTGGAAGAACTGGCAGGGCAGTGTACAGATGGGGTGGGAGGGAAGCAGGGGAGGGAGCCAGAGCTGAATTTACAGAGGAAGTGCTACAGCCCGGGACTTGGAGTCAAATGGGTATACGGGTCACTGTGGGGACACCTGGAACCCACATGCTCCAGTGAGTTGGTCCAGGTTCCCCCAGGGTCTGGACCAAAGACTTGGTGAGCAGGAGAGGGATTAGGGGGTCCTAAATCACAACCAGCAATATGTCGAGAAGCCAGGTTCAGTCATGTTCCCAAGGATGCGGGAAATCTGAATTGTCCTGGAACCCCACCGGGAAGCTGGAGCACTGATCAAAAAGCCAAGGTTGGGGAAAAAAGAAAATGAGAGCTGATTGCTACCCTGAAATAATTTCCAGATAGACCAAAGTCTTAAATGTAAAATAGTGTCTATAGCTGGGCCTGATGTTATGTGCCTGTAGTCCCAGCTACTTGGTAGGCTCAGGTAGAGGATCTCTTGAGCCCAGGAGTTTGAGGTTGCTGTGAGCCATGATTGCACCATAGTACTCTAACTGGGCGATAGAGGGAGACTTTGTTTCAAAAAAAAAAAAAAGTAAAAAGTATCAGAAAGATAACTAGAAGAAATTCTCAAGCAATTCCACAAAATAATTTTGATGCAAGGAAGGTTTTTAAAACAAGACACACAACTGAAAAGACAAAATGTAAAATTTTGACTGTCTAAAAAGTTCTAAGTTTGGCATGGAAAGAATACTTTTCTTTTTCTTCATTTTTTCTTTTCTTTTCTTTTTTTTTTTTTTGAGACAAAGTTACTTTGTCAACCTTGGTAGAGTGCTATGGCATCACAGCTCACAACAACCTCAAACTGTTGCTACTGTAAGCTACTCAAGGGCTTCTCCTATGGCCCCATATACCCAGGGTGATGGGTTCGAACCCGGCCCCAGCCAAACTGCAACAAAAAAATAGCCGGACATTGTGGCGGGTGCCTGTAGTCCCAGCTATTCAGGAGGCTGAGGCAAGAGAATTGCCTAAGCCCAGGAGTTGGAGGTTTCTGTGAGCTGTGATACTACAGCACTCTACTAAGGGCGATAAAGTGAGACGCTGTAAAAAAAAAAAAGAAAGAAAGAAAGAAATGCTACTCAAAACAAGAAGATACTATTTGTTATCTTTTGATTATCAAAGGATAAAATACTGATTATATTTAGTATTAAAAGTATAGCTATGCATATGTGTAAAAATATGTGTATAAGGATATGTATAGCAAAAGAGTTAAACAACCATAATGTGTGTTGAAAAGAGAGAGCTTATAGCAACCTTGGGATTTCCAAACAATATGACGTTATTAAAATTGTGAGGGAAAAGTGAAGTAGCTCTATTTTGGAGTGATTACCAATATAAGTAATGAAGTTTAAAATGTGTACTATGTATTTATGCTCCTATTTAAGTAAAAACAGGAAGCTATATTAGACACTTGAGCTATCTATACATACCTAGAATACTTCTGGAAGAATTCATCAGAAACTTGGCAATATTTCTTGCTTCTGGGAAAGATGATTATGGTACAGATGGGTCTGCATGCTGTTTGATATACATGTATTTTTTCTAATTATAGGCATTTTTTAATTAAAAAAAGAGTTTGTTTAAACACAGACGCATATCACACACACAAAGAAGTATGTAGGGTAGAAATCGAGACCCATGCAATGGATGTTCTGTGAAGGAGTTGATAATAAGAGGTATTTTAGCAAAAGCTGGGTGCATTATATATGTCTACATGGAAAAGAAGGATATTTCTGACATCAGAATTTTATAAGAACTGGTATAAAGTGATTCTGAAAGATTAGTGAGAGCTTTCAGATCTCCTATAATTGAAGCATCTAACTCTAGATCCTAGAATGAGATCCCATATTTGCCATCTGGGTTAGTACAGAAAATCTTGCTTCAGCATTTATGTTAAAGTTACATGTCTCAAAAGCACAATTTAAAGAAGTTGAGGAAACTCATGGAATTTCTTTCTTTTTGGATTCCTACAAGATGTGGATACTTCTCAAAAGTTTTATGCTGACCTTTTTTGTGAATAAACCTATGGAGAAGACCAAGATACTAGAACGAAGGAGAAAATATCTTTAGTTCCTGCTAAAGATAAAATAATCTCAAATTCTTTAAGCCAGAGGGTCACCTAATACTAATGTTCTGTATAATTCAGATTTACCACCATTTAAATGCAAGTATCTGTTAGGTCCTAGTCCTCACCTATGTAATTAAACCTATCTACATAATTCTGGAGATGTAGATGACCTTTCTAAGTATGAAATGAAATCTTGGAATTAAGTATGAAATGAAACCTTGGAATCATATAGGAAAAGATGACTGATAAGAGTATGAAAAAATATGACGTGTATTTTACAAATCATGGATGGCTGCAAGAGGGTAATATTATTCCGTAAAAGAACAATTTTCTCTATGAGTGAACAACTATGTGTTAAGGCTTAGGAAGGGGTCACTAATGGAAAAGTAGCCATGAGTCAGGGAGCTGGAGATCACGTCGACTTCATGAATAGAAAAGCTGAGAAGGAGATGATGGTTTGGATCTGAGCCAGGTTTATTTCCAACATGTCTCTGTGAACTGAATTTACTGACCCAGTTACTGGCACAGTGAGGCACCTCTGGGTCTACCTCATGGAGAAGGGGAAGCTGGGATTGATGTGGAAAACTGGCCGCTGAAAAGAGGGAGCACCCAGAGCTCACTCTCCAGGTCTCAGCAATCAGGTAAATCCCTTTGGTACAAGTCCTCCTCCCTGTGTGGAAACGTAAGACGTGAATAAACGTTCCCTACCAGCACCATACAGTTCAGAACTTATTTCAATGTTCTAGTGAGAGGGAAAACTGAAAAATGTCATTTAACTAATGATAAAATATAGATTTTTATTTTTATTTATTTATTTTTTTAGACAGAGTTTCACTATGTCACCTTCGGTAGAGTGCTGTGGCATCATAGCTCACAGCAACCTCAAACTCTTGGGCTCAAAAGATTCTCTTGCCTCCGCCTCCTGAATAGCTGGGACTACAGGCTCCTGCTACAATGCCTGGCTATTTTTAGAGATGAGGGCTCACTCTGGCTCAGGCTGGTCTTGAACCTGTGAGCTCAGGCAATCCACCTGTCTCAGCCTGCCAGAGTGCTGGGATTATAGGCATGAGCCACTGTGCCTGGCCACAGATAGATTTTTAAAAGCCAATAACCTGGATAATATTTTAAACAGCTTGTTACAAATTCTAGAGAATTGTGTGGGTACTTGTACTGGGAAACTATTTCTTGTGCTTGGATTCCACACTAATTTTTGGACTCATTTCTTAGAAACTGCCCTCAATTCATAACTGTGGGTATACCATGGAAACAGCCATTTTATACATTGTCACCCCAATCCCTGACTCTAGCACAGCCCACAGGTACACATCTAAGACCAAGTGGGAACAATTTCTCTCTTCTGGGGTAATTTTTTTTTATTGTTTCAGGTTAATTTGAGGGTACAAAGAATTAGGTTACAATGTTTGCATTTGTTAAGTAGAGTCCCTGTTATAATTGTGTCCTGCCCTCAAGAGATGTGCCATATACCCTGACATTGTGCCCATTAAATGGAAGCACAGCCATTCCCCTTCTTTCCTCCCCTCTCCCCACTCCTTCTTTCCCTGTCCCCCATCTTGAATTGATTTGAGTTTTTCTCTTATGTGGGCATGTATTAGATCATTTGCTGGTTTCTTGTTAGCATTGAGTACATTGGATTCTTGCTTCTCTATTCTTGTGATACTTTACTAAGACGAATGTGCTTCAACTCCATCCAGGTTAATATAAAAGATGTAAAATCTCCATCTCTTTTAATGGCTGAATAGTATTTCATGGCATACATATACCACAGCTTGTTAATCCATTCCTGGTTTGGTGGGCATTTAGGTTGTTTCCACATTTTGGGGATTGTAAATTGATCTGCAATAAACAATCTAGTGCAAATGTCCTTATGATAAAATTATTATTATTATCTGGGACAGAGTCTCACCATGTCACCCTCTGTAGAGTGCTGTGCTGTCATAGCTCACAGCAACCTCCAACTTTTGGGCTTAAGCAATTCTCTTGCCTCAGCCTCCTGAATAGCTGGGACTATAGGCACCCACCACAATGCCCAGCTATTTTTTGGTGACAGTTGTCATTGTTGTTTTAGCAGGTCCTGGCTGGGCTTGAACCTGCCAGCTTCGGTGTATGTGGCTGATGTGTGAGCTATGTGTGCTGAGCCATGATAAAATTATTTTTCTTCTTCTGGATAGATGCATAGTAATGGGATTGCAGGATGAAATGGGAGGTCTAATTTGAGTTCTTTGAAGATTCTCCATACTTCCTTCCAAAGTGATTGTATTAGTTTGCAGTCCTACCAACTGTGTAAAAGTGTTCCCTTCTCTCCACATCCATACCAGCATCTGCAGCTTTAAGACTTTGTGATGTGGGCTATTCTCACTAGGGTTAGGTGATATCTCAGGGTCCTTTTGATTTCCATTTCTCTGATGATCAGGGAGAATGAGCATTTTTTTCATGTTTGTTAGCCATTCATCTGTTTTCCTCAGAGAAAGTTCTGTTCATATCTCTTGCCCAGCGATAGATGGGATTGCTGTGGCATCACAGTTCACAGCAACCTCCAACTCTTGGGCGTAAGCAATTCTCTTGCTTCAGCCTCCCAAGTAGCTGGGACTACAGGTGCCTGCCCCAATGCCTGGCTTTTTTTTTTGAGACAGAGCCTCAAGCTCTGATAGACCCCTGGGAAAGTGCTGTGGCATCACAGCTCACAGCAACCTCCAACTCCTGGGCTCAAGCGAGTCTCCTGCCTCAGCCTCCCATGTGGCTGGCACCACAGGTGTCTGCCACAACACCCGACTATTTTTTGGTTACAGCCATCATTGTTGTTTGGCGGGCCTGGGCT